TAAATTTAATTTTATAATTTGTAACTCCAAGATAAATACTTGTAAAAATTACCCTGCAATGAAATTAATAAAATAAAATAAATATTGGAAATATAAATATAAATATAAATAATAAAAATAATTATTAAATAATATAATATATAGTTAATAAAGGAATAATGGATGTTATGGGATTAAATATTTGATTGTATAATTGTATAATATTATTATTCCTGAGTTAATGAAATTAATTATAAACCATAGTTATAAACCCTGGACTTGAAATAATAATTAAACTGGATAATTGAAAACAATATTTAAAGTTGAAGAATTTAAAAGATGATTAATGGATGAATATTAATACTAAGGATGTTAACGAACTTGAAAAGATATTGGAATAAAATGAATGAAAGGTCTGATTTCCTTTCTAAAATAACTGAATCAGTAGTGCCTTCTAAAATAATGAAACAATAGTCTTACCTTTGGGAAAAGACTATAAACTCCTTAAAAGAACCATCAAGTCACACCACTAGGTGGTTCTTGAAGAAAACAGGAACCACCGGTGACAATGCCAAAATAAATTTGGGATGCCAAAAATAATTTGGGATGTCAAAATAAATTTGGGATGCCAAAAATAATTTGGAGTGCCAAAAATAATTTGGATTTGGGATTTGAGATTGGAATTTGGGATTTGGGATTTCGGCATTTGGATTTTGAATTTGGGTGGCAGGTATACATCCTCGTACATTCGGAACATAATTTCTTCGCTTATTAACCTTTCTCTTCTAGACATGTCCATTAACGTATCTGGATCATCGTCGGTGACTTTCGCAAATTGAATCATATCTGCATCTGAACATAATCTATCGTGATATGTATGTGCTAAATCCCTGTTTTTTTCAGTAATAGTAACGAACTTATCGGGATCTTCGCTGTGGTCAATCGCCCACTGTCTGAGATATTTTTTTCACTCTTCTCAGGGGATATATTCGGGTGGGTATGATATCTGCTAAGGGGGTGCTTCGTTGTTAGACTTAGACCCGTCGTTAATAGGTAAGTCGGGAGATATTTCTGGCTCATCATTCATTGATTCAATAATCTCGAGAGATGATTCAACTTTATCATCCATAGATTCATCTATTATCAAATCGAAGAGAGCCTAGGTTTCATTAGTAACTGGTAGAATAGGAACAGGTGATGAAGCCTTGCCTTTTCCGATGTAATCTGTGGTCGATGGCTCAGCTATCTTTTTTTCTGGTTCGGAGGTTATGATTTTTGGAACATTGAATACAGGAATATCTGTGGATGCATTGGAGGATGTCTCAGCTTGAGGTGAGTCTGAAAATTTCTCAATATCGATACCTTTTTCACGTAGTTTGCTTACGATTTTAGATCGATCAAGAATGTACTATTATACTCTTACTCCATCATCGCGTGAACATGTACGATCGATACCTATTTGTAAGATTTTTTTTCCAAGAACATTACTAGTGGATAGTTTTTCTTCATTACTTCCATACCAAGTGAGATAATCTTGATATAAAGTAGCACAGCTTAGTTTATCAATCTGATTCTCAGACCATAGTGAAATATAATCAATTATGAATCGAATAGGGTTGAGAAGGTGACCTCACATTGTTTCAACTTTCATTTTAGTATTAGGGATATCTTGTGGTATCCAATTTGAAAGATCTCGTTTAAGTAAGTAGCTCATGAAATTACTAGGTGTATTGGGATGTTCCAAAATTTTTTCAAGTTGCTTAAAATATCCCATATTACCCTTGCATCGCGAAGACACATCTAAGCATACTATACGCCCATCACCCATTTCAACACAAAGTGGGACATCATGATTACTAAGAACTATATATCCAGCGAAATTCTTGATTGTTTTTGATTCAATCTCCTTACGCTCTATAGTTATATTTGGCTCAGTAATAAGGAATTTTAAATGGTCATTAGTCTTTTGCCATTCTCCCGATACCATCCCTGTTTCGTTTAAAAGGATAAGCTTTCTAGTTTGGATGCAACTATTGAATCGTCCTAATATTTTTCCGAGATCTGATGATGCAAAGAATAATTCTTGTCCTAAGACTTCCTTATCAATAAAATCAGTTAAGATATTTTTTCCTGAACGAAGGGGGGAATGTAATACTAAAACAGTTCCAGATTTTTTTTCTGGATATTGTATAAGATAAGCCAACCAGTTAGTAACATACTCCGATAGATTTTTATCCCCATTACACCAAACGTTTTCTATATGCCAAGTGATCGGATCAATGAGAGCAAAATTTATCTCGACCGATGGCCGAACTTTGAATCTTAAAAACAGATTAAAGAATTTGGTATTCGATGAAGAGGTGTTTGGAGAATATGGCAGAAAATCAATATTACTATAAAGAATCAGACCTTTTGAAACTACCCGATTTATTAATGTTTTTAATTCTACTGACTCCCCCCATATTCAGTTATACTAATTTCGTATTTGGCAAGATCTAGTTTGGATACCATATCAAAATAAAGACCATTATCCAAATCTTCCATTTTAAACAACCACAGTCTTGAAATTGTTTGAACACATGTAACTGTTACTTGAATTGCTTCATATACCTTTTTGCGTGTATATCTTTGTTCGAACACACACATATCTAGCAGGTCCCCCATACAAAATGATCGTTTGGATTAGAAATTCTGAATTGTTCTAGTTTGGAGAAAATTGAAAGGTTATTTTCTCGATCCTTGGCTGATTCACTAATAGTAAGTTTTATCGAAGGTTTTCTTGTCCCAGGAACTCTCTTATCATTTGCACGATAGCAATAAAAGCTATACGATTTCTTATTTCGAATAACGTATGCATTATCATTCTCATGTATATGATCATTTTGGTCTTTATCTTCCCGTTTACATAGTGGACAATTCGAAGATGCTATACATTTAAGATAAAAGGTGTTAGGATAATTTTCTGTAGGATACGATACCTCATATCCTGAAATATTAGCATGTTCCAGTAACTCCTTTACTAATTCAGGTTCAGTCTCACTACTTTCTATACTATTATTACATATTCTAATTAACTCTGAAACAAATATGGAAGAATTTTCTATATTCAATCCTTGAATGGATAGAAAAGAATTGTTTACATCTGACTTTAAAGTATCTAAAATAGGACTATTTATAACCGGTGCCTCATCATGTAGAGGATGAAGCATAAAATCAAAGACACTTCTTTTTCTAGAACCTAGTGGTCTCTTTACACGTACGTGCTCTCCGGTTTTTTCTATAAATTTTGGTGTTTCAAGTATTCGTAAAGAGAATGGATTTTTATTCGTAATATTATCAACAATATCTTTGCTCTATAAACCCACTGGGAGTTTTTTGCGGACAAGCTCAATAAATGATATGACCTTAGTAATATTCTTAAGGCGCATTCCAAATGTTGAAATATAATAAGACGTTTTTCTTGGATCACTACTACTAGCAATAGTGATGGTAGTTTTATCCCATTCTGGATATATTTCTAGACATGTTTTTGAAAAAGCATTATAAAGTAAACCCTGTATCTCTTTACCTGTAAGTTTAGGTTCGATTTTATCAAATTTTTCTCTAGATAAATCAAAATCAATAATAGGGCGAAGTGGATCATCGCCATCAATGAATTCATGTAATGAATGTCCTTGCCGTTCACTAAGTATAGCTTCTATTTCATCCTCAGTATCTGTCCCTAGGAATTGTTTTGGTCTTATGCTGTCATCACGAATTTTATACATATATTCGGCCACACTCTCGGCTTTAGCCCCCTGGTGGTAGAACGTCCCGTTTCCTTCATTCTCATATCCCGGCTCGTATTCTTCCTCTATCTCTAGCTCAAAATGTTTCGAGTTTTCTGGGCTCTCTGGTCGATAAGGTGATGCGTCTGCCATTGCCAACGCGTGATTAATATTTTCTTGGAAATTTTGGGTATCCATGGTTGGTAATACCCTGATAAAAAAGTTTAAATCGAAAATAATTATTGAATATTTTTACCTGAGATAATATTATACGGAATCAAATAAGTTTTGACAAATAATAATCAATGGCAGGAACTTATATTTGTCAGTATCTTACTAATGAGAGTAAGATCTGTGGTCAGCCTTGCTATCGGCAAGAAGGATGTGCTATTCATTGGAAAAGACGTCAGCGCGTCCCCTGTTTAGAATGCGGTAAACTGACTACTTCTAAGTATAGCTTATGTAATTTATATGCGGATAAATGTCACGCTAAAGCCTTTTATAATAGGAATAAGCTATCTAAAATGGTACAGAATGAGCAAACAATAGAATCTTTGATACGGATCCTCGATGAAATTAGATTGTTGTCCTTTGTCCCTAGAAAAAAAAATGGTCCTAGAAAAAAAAAATAGCTGAGGTTGGAAGTAAGGCCAGTAATTTAGCATTTTTCAGATTATGGAACCTTTTTTCGAATAACTGTCTTTAGTAACCTTAGCGGACCTAGCAAAATCTCGAGTTTCTTACTTTTTATTTTTCTTTTTTTTTTCATACATATGTATTATATGTATATATGTATATACGTATTATCTATTATATACAGTAGCTACCATGGAGTAATGATTTTTTCTAGATTCTTATTTTTCTTAAGGACACTAGGGACAAAGATAAAATAATATAAAGGAACATAATTAATAAATCTAAAGATCCAAAAATGATAACTTCTTCTATCCCCCTTTTGTGTCTTCCAAAGAATTTTTGTCTGGGGACAAGGGGGGTCACTTAGTCGATACATTTTTTTTACTAGGACAGATTTTTTCATAAAGACAGAATTTTACATAGTGACAAAAAATTCGATACATTTGGTATAGCATTATTCGATAGCAATTACGTGACACATGTTTGATAGCGACCCAATAGCATTTATGTGACATTCTAAGATAGTATGACCTGATAACATTTTCACAATATACTTGACAACATGTATCTGATAACATTATTTTTTCTATTAAATATTCTATACAATATATAAAATGACATCAGTACAAGATCACAATATCAAGTCGGATCAAGCTATTAATAAAATTATAGCACAAGAGATTGAAAAAGCAATCAAAACTTATATAGAAAGTTTAATCAAGAATTTGATTCTGAGCTTGAAAATGTGTTTAAAGATATAATAACTATTCGTAAACCTGTTATCAAGAATCCTGATGCTACCAATGATGTATAAATTATATCATATACTATTACTTTTTTTTGTCTCCTCTGACTTCATCGTCACTCGAATGATGATGGTGGTCAACTTTTATCATCAGGTCACATGCTCACTGCCACATATCTGATAGGAAACAACCTACAGCTGACTCTCTCCCAGTATAACCTACTTCGGGAAGCTCCTTACATTCGAAATCAAATATAGCTACCATATACTATATAATTTTTAATAATGAATTTAAAAATCTAGAAGCTTTAAAACATTATACAGAGTAGTCACCTGCTGAGGAGCATAACCTATCTCGGGGAGCATCTTAGTTTTAAAATCAACCACAACTGCTAAATTGATATACAATGTGTCATATGTGATCTGATAATAGAAATTGGTCAGACCTTTAATCTGATATATGTCAGTTTGAGTGTGGCCTAAAAAATATATCACGCCACTTTCAAGTGTAGCTTAAAAAATGAATCATGCCATACACATGAGTGGGAATAACCTATACTAAGTGAAAATAACATAATTATGTTATTTCCACTAGAGGCGTATTTAACTATTAACAGTGGTATAAAGACTTGTTAATAGGAGCAAACAGTTTATCAATTATCAAAAGTATACAATAAACAAGGAACTCAAAGGATTTTGTAATATTAATTTTATTACTTAATAAATTCTAACTAATTCGAAAACTAAGAAACTGACAAGAAAGCTAAATAAAAAACTAAGAATGAATTGAAGACTGAGTAGAGGAAATTCTTAATCTTTATATACATTATAGATTTAAATGTTAAGCTAACTTGTAATCTGACTGTAAACTTCACTAATAACTATGCTAATATCTTAACTGATACCTTAACTGTTAATTTAACTTATACTTTAACTGAGATATTAACTTGTACTCTGGCTTGTACTTTAATTTGTGTTCTAGTGCTACAGATTAACAAGAATTTAGGAATTTACTAATTTAAGTAATAATATCTAATTTGTATTACAGACTATTAAATTGATCTACTGTAATACTATATATAATACTAAGAAATAAATATAATAACTAATAATAAAATAATACATATATGATAGAATATATAATAATAGGATATATAAATAATTAATAAAAATAAGGATAAAAGCAGAAGTAACAACACAATAAAACCTTCTACCTAAATTAATTTTTCACATTTAGAAATAATTTAAGACAATTATGTCTTCATCAAAGAGGTTTGTAAAGAAATATTTCAAAAACAACAATACAAAAAAAGTTTGGTATAATGAAGAAAATGTTAAATCTTGTTATTGCAACAAGTAGAATAAAGAAACTTTGTAAAATTTATTTAAAGTTGGCTAAGAAAATAGAAGACAAAATTATAAGTCAAGTCAAGAATGGTAATAGTATTATTAAATTTGCTATTACTATTAGCAATCCTATTGGTATTAGAATAAAAGATCAAAAATTCAAAGATTTTAAAGATCAAAAAAATAAAAAAAAACAAGAATTACCTGAATTCAAATTAGAATAATAAAGAGAATAACAATGAAAGTCATGAAAAGTTGTCATTGTTGATTATGATTACCTTTACTAAATATGATTAACTAACAACTAATAACAAGGAAACTATTGTCTAAAAGATCACAAAGCAATTAGACGAATATGTTAAAGTTGAAAAGTTTATACTATAGAAGAAATATAAGAAATAAAGAATTTGGTATTGTAGTTTATTTGAAAAAGGTTAAAAGTATGAGGATTTAAAAGGATATGGGATTTCAAGTTTATACTAAGTTTATAGGTATTTATAAAGAATATTATCAGTTTTATACAGAAACTATAGTAATAACCCAGATCACAAAGCAAGGTTAATTATAAACAGAATAATATTGAAATCACGAAGCAGTGTATTATTATGAAAGTATTTCACCAAGAAATCAAAGAATTAAATTATCAAATTGTTATGAAGACTTTATTAATAATGTATTACAAATATCAAGTTCAGAATATAATCAAGTTCTAACTGTTCTAACTCTAAGAACAAAAGCTATCTCTATTTGTACAAAATTATCATCCTTTTGTGAGACTATAATTACTAATTTCAAAAAAGCTTCAGAAATTTCCATCACATTCTAGAATATTCTATAAACTATTTTTGCTAATGAGTTATTTGTACTAGAGATATTTACCAGAGGCATCGACTAGAGATATTAACCAGAGATGTTAACCAGAGGTGTTGACCTCATATTACAATCAAAAATAATCTACATTTGTTACTCATAAATAATAATAATACTATTAAAATATAATACAAATAAAAAATCTAACTAATAAAATATGTTAATAAAATATAATATTACTAATAATAAATAAATATAAGAATTAAAGAAATAAAGTTAACACCATGTAAAAAAATTCAAAAAATATTACAAGATATCAGATTAAATGATAATGATCTAATAAATGACAAAACTAGCAAAAAAACATATAGCATTTGTAACAAGAAAAGGTATAATGCATAAACATGTTTGACAAACACTGCCAATTAACTTTGAAAGACTAGTGGACAAAAGATAGAACTGTATTTATAAGACAAAAAAATTTTTTTTTTCAAAAGCAAAGGTTTAAAAGATGTATATGTAATGAAGGGAAAACCAATAAAAACAAAGGTTTATAATAAATGATACACATTGATGCATATGGTGTATAATGTGATTATAGTATATTTTATAAATGATATAGTATATTTTTAAGTGATATAGTATGATTTATAAGTGATTCGTGACACATAATATGATTTATAAGTGATATATAGTGTATAATTAGTATAACTTACACATTATGCAAAAGCACATTACATTTAAAAATCATGTGTTTTATTGGTCAAAAATCATTGACAATGACTAAATCATGTGCTTTATTTTTATTGGTTAAAAATCAACTGGTGTTGAACACCACTGATGTGATTTATAAATGTTATAAAATATTCAATAATTTTATCAAAGGTGAATTATATTTTTAATCATTTCTAGTTCTATAAAATTATACACTTCTAATAATTTCAACAAAGTTTTTGACTTAATTATACAATCGCACAAATGCAGTGCAAGATGCAATGGTGATTTATTTGGTATTAAGAAGTTTATTGAATTTCTACATTTATAAAAACAATCATTTAAAGTTATAAAGATAATCATTAAAGTTATATACTTGTTTATAACAAATTCCAGTAAATTACTAAGCCAGTCATTGGAAATTTTTATTGATATTGTTATTAATTGACATGACACTGTTAACAATATTCTTTGAAGTTTATCATAGCAATTTTAATTGATATCACATTGTTAACAATATCCTTCGAAGTATATATTATGTTAAACTATATAAATATAAATGGATATGTATATAGATATAAATAAAATAAAAAATATCAGTTAGGAAAAAAGCTAACGTTTTCAACTGTCTCTCACTAATATACATCCTAAGTAGAACAGAACAGGTAATAAGTTGAGCCTAATGAAGATTAATTTCTCTTGCTCTGCATAAGTGGAAAGCTCTATAAACGATTTTTCAGACCTCCCTGGAATGATATAAGACCATATGTTTCCTAAGCACCTGTCTGGCAAAATGACTCCAACCCTTCTCTGCCAAGAGTTCACCCAAGAGATAATGAGATCATAACTTGTAGAGCTGTCCATAGTCAAGTATTATCTTCCCAAGTGTCTTCAATTATTACGATTAGCAATTTCTCTACATATAGATGTTGACTGTTATTCATCAATATGACATAAATCAAAAGGGGAAGAGAAATAAATATAATAGAGTAAAAAGGAATAAAATATTATATAATTATTAGATAAAAATAAATTGAAATCAATTTCAATGTTCTAAAATCGTTGGTGGTTATACAGTATTCAAGAATTTGTAAAATCAGGGTATCATAAATTGTGAATCGTTGAATAGTAACGTGACTATAAGGGTAGTTAGTATCACGAGAATTAATTTCTGCGGTAAGTCTATCAAAGGATAATTGTTGAGAGAGAATTGGTCTTTGGGAGAGAATTTCGTCAATCAAAAAATACTCAATGAAGTGTTTCCGAGCCCCTTCGAAATTTCGAAAACCAAGTTGACTTTTATATTTTGTTCTCCACAATCATAACATAAACATAATTCCGTTTATCATGGTTCCTATATTTTCTAACTTGCTAACAATTACTACAGTAATTAAATTCTTTTGAATTGTTTTCCATGTTAAAAATGATATAAAAATAAGAATAAAAAGTATTCATAATAAAGAATATGGTGTATCTCATCCACAAACCACAATTTTTTGGAAATCAATGCTAATATTCACAAAGAAATGTAGAATCGTTTTTTGGATCGAAGTTAATAATTCTGTTGACAAGTTTAAACTTGCGATTGAACTTTTTTAAAATATTTGAATAAAAGATAAGGAATCTCATAAACATAATTGATTTATAATTAAAAAGACAGAATTTTTTTTATCATACAATTTAATAATGATAATAAATAACGTTGAATTTATATGCATAAAAAATAAAAATTCAGAAAAAAAATAATGATACAAAAATAATGATAAAAATATAATAAATCTATATTCATTTTACAGATATGAAAATAATAATAATACAAGGAAATATATAATGAATATCTTAATAAATAAAATTTATGAAAATTATGAAACAAATAAATAAATAAATAGATAAATAAATAAATAAATAAATAATAATAATAAAATAAATGTAATGTTTAATTGTCATTTTCATTTTCCGTTCTTTCCGATGGTAAAAAACTTAATAATGGTTGATAATTTGCATTTCTTAATTCCATCGTATGTTGAGCATCCGTTTTCATATTGATATCAACTAAAGTTCTTCCATTACCAGCAACGGGTGATAAAAGTCGTGGCGAAGTATTACGCGAATTATTTATTATTGGTGGTGTATCAATTGATAATAGTGGTCCCCCCGGTGATTTTTTATTTAATCTTTTATCATTTCCTTCGTAATCTAAGGATTCATTACTTTTCGCTAATAATGAACCTTTATGAAAACGAACTCCTTCATCCATTTGAATTAGGTGACCTTGAGTTTGTAAATTATTATTTTCAATTATTTCCCGATTCTTATTAAGTAAGGAACCTTTGTGAAATAATTCTGAATTATCAATTTGTACTAATGTTGCAGAATTTGGATCTTTTATAATTCCAAATCCATTCATGGCTCTACGAATTTTTTCTCGTTCTTTGGCTTGTTCAAATAAAACTTCGTTTGATGCCAACAATGAACCTTTAGCAAATATTTCAGTCTCAACTTCAATTGGTTTTATAGGTGGACTCTTATCTAATAAAGAACCACCTTTAAATGGACCAGATGATTCTTTGTTATTATTATTTGGTAAAGGTGATGAAGGTAGCACTAAATCACCAAAAGAGTCTCCAAATCCTAATCCTAACGATTTACTATGTGCATGACCGCTTTCTTGTGTTTTATCGATTCCTGGACCTTCACTAGTGGAAAGAGCCGCCAATTCAAATGTTATTTCAGTCAACAAAGATGAAGTCTGTAATGTAAATATTTAATCAATTAATCATAATCTTGTAAAATTAAAATAAATAATTTTTTTTTTTTAAAAAAATGAATGTCATTCTTACATCTGAAACAGCTACAGGTAAGACATTAGTTAATGGTGCATTAAGATTAATTGTTACTGGCTTGTCATTCTTTTCAGGTATTCCAATAAATAATTCTGGTCTTTCTTGACGCATTATAAGATTCTAAAAAAAAAAATTAAATTAAATTAAATATTTTTTCAACCTATTAAACGAAGAAATAAATTAAAAAAAATATAATGTCATACTTTTGCTATTCTAATACATGAAACCCACTCATTCATTTTATCTAAACTTTCAGCACTCAAGAATCGAACATAATCATTTTCATTTACAAACATAGTAACTTTGTTTTGAGATTTTACAGCAAATTGAAATTTGGTCGGACATTTTTTAATGGGTTTTGTAACTGTATAAATATCAAAATTTGCAAGTGAACAAAGGAGTGTATCATCCTTTCCTTTTAAATCTTTACTATGATATAAAGATCCATCTTTTATATGGAACCAACGTTTTTGCCATTTGTTTTTCTTTGTTTCAAGAAGATGTAAAACACCGTACATAGCAGGAACAATGTCATTAAAGTTCTAATATATATATATATATATATTTTTAAAAAAAAACAAATTTGATACTTGACTTTTAATATGAAATCAAATAATAATGAAAAAAATAATAATCAAAAGAGAAACTTAAAAATTTATTACCTTCAGTGTAAGAGTATTTCTGTAAGCAAATTTCTTCAATAATAAAGTATTTTTTTTATCTAATTCCCATGTCCCAATTACTTTTGATACCAATTCCCAATCTCTTAATGGACGTTCTAAAAAAATATTAACAAAATAAATTAATTTCAAATAAAAATTCTCTCTCTATATATTTATACTATTATAACAATTGTAATAATAATAATAATAATAATAATAATAATTATAATAATTAATTACCCAATGCCAAATCAGGAATAATTTCGAATAATGTCCAAGCATCTGCATCAGTTATGGTCTTATTATTACGGAAGAAATTTAAAACATCCAAAGCTGTCATAGTTGGTGATAATTGTATTGCTTTAAGTTGATTAATTTCTTCAATATGGATTTCAGTTGTGAGCTAATAAAATATTAAATAAAAATATTATTAATTAATATTAATTACAGTACATTATTATAATAATAATAATTATTATGCATACCATAACTTCAGAAATTGGTGGTTCAGGTTGTTTTGTCTACAAAAATAAATTATTATTATTAACTATTTATTAAGAATTAAAAAAAAATAATATAATTATAATAATAATTTACCGTTTCACGTCTAACTAATGTAGTATTTCCCATTAATAATTCAAATTCTTTATTAGATTTAGTTTTATCTTCGTGTTCCCTTTCTCGAGTCCTCGATTTTCCACGAGTTAATGATTTACTTCGGCCTCTACTATGATCTCGTTCTTTAGCATTTTGACTTCTACCTCTCCCTCGTTCTTCCTCATTTTCTCGCGAAACATTTTGACTCCTACCTCTCCCTCGTTCTTCCTCATTTTCTCGTGAAACATTATTATTTTCTTTTTCCATTATTAGCTTTTCATATTCTTTATCTCTAACTTTTGTTGTTTTAGAATCGGGTTCTCTTGTTCGAGATCTTGTTCTTGATCTCGATAGCTGCGGTTGTTGTTGTTCAGTTATTTTTTCTTCTGACCTTTCTTTTATTATTTTTTCTTCTGAACTTTCTTTTGATGATTTTTCTTCCGGAGGAATTCTTTCTTTTGATTTATTATCTTCCATTATATTTTTATCTTTAGATTTATTATCATCAGGATTATTTCTCTCTTTAAGTTTTCTGTCCTCTCGTGCTTTTTCCCGTGACGGCCTATTTTCCTCTGGAATCTTTTTGTCTCTCACCCTACGTGATGATTTCCTTTCAGGAACTAATTCTGGGGTATCATCTGATTCTTGATATTTTAAACTTCCTCTTCCTCTTCCTATTCTTTCATTTTCTAATTCTTTTTCACGTGCTCTGGATTTATTTTTATTACTATTATTATCATTATTATTATTATTATTATTATTATTATTATTATTATCATCATTATTTTTTACGTTTGTCACATGACGTACTCTTTCAATATCTCGATGTCGATTACTATAACTATTTTCTCTATGAATTTCGGGTGGTGGTGAACTAGAAAGGGCAAGAGGTCGATCGTCATCACTATCAATAACATCTTTATTTCTTTCACCACGCATTCTTCCCGACTTAGTAATAGGGGTATTTGCAGTGTCCTTATTTGTATCACCTTTTTGTTTAATTGATTTTTCACGAGATTTTATATTATTCACTTGTGAACGATCAACATTTCTTCGGTCTCTTGATTTATCATTATTATTATTACTATTTCTATCGCGTCTATTATTGTTATTATATTTATTATCCGTGGAATCTCGTCGTAAATCTCGTGAATCTCGTGAATCTCGTAAATCGCGTGAATCTCTTAACTCTCGTGTATCTCGTAAATCTCGTGAATCTCGTGAATCCCGTGAATCCCGTTGTTGTTGTTCCAGTTGTGCTAATAATGGAGGAGTTGATGACTTTCCATATCCATGACTCGTTGGAATTCGATGTTTAGTTTTTGGTGATTCTTGATATAATAATGAACCTGTGGTGAAAGGAGTGGAAGGCGAATTATTACTAGAGGTAGGAGAAAACGCATTTGGACTTCTTAATTTAGTTCCTTCATTAATAATATTATTTTTATTATGATTATTATTATAATTATTATTATTATAATTATTATTATAATTATTATTATTATTATTATTATTATTATTATTATTATTATTATTATTGTTATTATTATTATTATTATTATTATTATTAAAATTAGTTATAACTTTTGGCTTTTTTGGATTTAATCTGGTAGTTAAAGCTAAAGGAGTTTCATCACTTCCGTCACTTCTTTCTTCTTCACTATCACTATCACTATACGATTTATCAGATGATTTATCGGATTCAGTTTCATCCGATGAACTATTTGATTCATCATCATCATCATCATCATCATCACTGCATAAAGCAGTAATTCTTGAATGCATGTCAATAATATTATTCGTGGTTAAAGATTTATTACGAATCAAATTAAGATTTGAAGTAGATTTTGAGGATCTTAAATTGGAAGTAGATTTTGATGATTTTATGGTTTTCACGATACCCGTATGCGCTGAACCTCTGGGTGAGAATGCGTTATTATTATTGCTATTTGGATTATAATTATTATTTGGATTGTAATTATTATTATTTGGATTGTAGTTATTATTTGGATTGTAATTATTATTTGAATTGTAATTATTATTTGAATTGTAATTATTATTTGGATTGTAATTATTATTTGGATTATAATTATTACTTGGATTATAATTATTATTTGGATTATAATTATTATTTGGATTATAATTATTATTTGGATTGTAATTATTCTTCATATTATTATTATTATTGTAATTATTATTATTATTAATGTAATTATTATTATTATTAATGTAATTATTAGTTGGAGAGGTTAATTGGTTTGAATTAGTTAATAAATCTGATGATTTTGTTCTTCGATGTGAAGAAGTTTTTATTGGAGAAATAGTTGAGCCATTAGGACGCATTTTTTCCATTCTTTCATAAGATAAATTATCAACTGAATTATTATAATTATTTGGATTATTATTTGGATTATAATTTGGATTATTATTTGGACTATGATTTGGATTATTATTTGTATTATTATTTGGATTGTAATTTGAATTATAATTTGGATTATTATTTGTATTATTATTTGGATTATAATTTGAATTATAATTTGGATTATTATTTTTAATAGCAGAAGGGATTCGATAATTATATTTTGAAAACGAGACAGAATTGTTATTATGATTCAGTGATTGTCGTTGTGGTGGTAATGTCGTTTCAGCTGTTGCTGAGGATTTATTTGTGGTGGATATTGTAGATTGATTTGTGGGAGAACGTTTTAATTTTAAAGATAAACTAATTTTAGAAAGTTCTTCTTGAAAATATTCAATGTCTAAATCAGTATTCTTTTCCGTTATTTTATTGCTTTCTGAATCATCACGTGCAAGATCCTAAATAATAATAATATTAATAATAATAATATTTTCGATACAAATTAAACGAAAAAAAAAAACAGAAAAAACAAAAAAAAAAGTTAAAAAAAAAAGAATTAAATATTATATATTATTTATATCTATATATTCTTACCGCCGTAAATTGTTCAACTTCTTCTTGTAATTGACCAATTATTAAGTCTAATTGGTCACTCATTATTAATTGTAATTAGGTTGTTGTATTAATTGTGTATTAAGTTGTATTAAGTTGTAATTAATAAAGGTTATATGCGGGAAATAAACAAAAGCATCATATGCGGTTTTATTAGTGAAGTGATTTATGTAATATTGTTTATATAATTAAATGCAATGTTAGAAGAAAGAACTATTATAAAATAGAAATAGAACGGACGGGGATGGTGGCGCAAAAATTTAACTAAACCAATAATGACAACAAAGATAAATTTTTTGATCTATTAAACTTGTTTAAATAATGAAGATTTATGTGGAATTTATGTAAGAATTTATTAGAATTTATTTAAAAAACAAAAAGGTAAAAAAAAATAATAAAATTTAGACGAGAAAGTAAAAAAAAAAAATCTATTTATTTATATAATTTTAAATATAATGTGTTTGTTGTGTTTAAATATAAAATTAGTTACAGAAAACATGCAACCAAGCCATTTATTAAATTTATAAATTCAGAAAAACGAAATCGTATCACAAGTGATGGTTATACTGATTATACGGAGAACAATGGTTACAGAATCTATATGTGGAACATTCTAAACATTCTAATATTTAGAACTCAAGACTTTTTTTTTAATTTCATATATTTTTTTTTAGTTACACGGTCGGTGATTCCAGTGATTTTCTGGTTATGCTTAATAGGGATCAGGTTTTGCCAGAATAAAAAATTTATAAAATTATTTCTAAAATTTATAAAATTATTTCTAAAAGTTGATATTAAGTTGACGCATTTAGATCTCCAATTGTTCAATTGTTATATTTATCTTTATTATTATCTAATTTTATCTATTATCTTTATTTACTATCTAATTTTATCTATTATTCTATTGTACTATTCTATTTTTATTATTATTATTATCATTATTATTATATTATATTATTATTATGTATCATATTAAAGCAGCAGCTATCCCGTTATCCTTCGATAATAATTTTCCTTGCTGGGAGAAATATAATATGAGAATGGAGTTAACCATCTAGACTTATACATGTATTTATATTAATGTCGGTTTCCTATTTGTTTGTTTGTTATCTTTTCGAACGTTACCCACGTGTAAAAATTCAATGTGCACGAGACTCTAATTAGTAATATTATAGAATTCTTATTATAATTCTTTATTTATTATTAATATCATTACTCTCTTTCTCATTCGATAATTATTCATTTCCCAAAAAAATGTTGCAGCAGAAAAAAATTTTTTTTTTTTACATTGTGTAATCATTTTTTTTGTTATTACAAATTTGAGAAATTCTTTAGATTAAATTAAGAAAATGTTTTTCCTACTTGCATAATCCTGCATATTGTGAGTTTTACTTTTTTCCAAGCCTAAATTCTAAAATTTCTATTTTTTTTTTTTAGCCGTTTAGATTTTGGTCATCTGACGCTGGAATTATGAAACTGCTTTATTATTTACATTTGTTTTTTTTTATTAAATCAATTAATAGAATTTTCTTTGCATACAACAAGCATACAAATAAACATACGAATAAAACATTATATGCGTAATAATAAATAAAATACAGCTTCAACCAATTGAAATCAAAAAAAAAAAGAAAATTTAATTATTTCGGCGTTTCTTTCTATCTCTTTTTTATTTCTTCAAGATTATATTTATACATAGTTTACCGCCACATTATACTTCCATTATTTCTTTATTATTGTTTTGTTGCTATAATATTAAAGGGCTCATAACACTATAAATGCAATAATATGTAATGCTTAAAAATATATTTAAATTACGTAATACGTTTTAGATAAATTAATATTGAATAATTTGATTTTATCTTTTATGCACTATTTAAAGTTTCGAGAACTTTCAAAAAAAAAATTACTACTTTCTTGCATTGTCCTCCTCTCTTTTAGAATTTTGTCTAAATTTTGAATTTCTATTTAATAAATTTAATCAAGGTATAGCATCAGTAAGTTGCATAAGGAATAGTACTTGCATAAGCTTTAAACATCTCTATTTCAAAAACGTGCTTTTTTTTTAATAATAATAATAATAATAATATATATATATATATTATATATATTTTAGTTTTAATATAATATTTTAATTTTAAACCTATTTATGTAAAAGTAACATTACACTCTGTAACTGAAATTTTAATTTAAAAGAAAAATAAAATAATATCTAAATATCTGATTCCTGAGAAAAAAATCGAATGATGGGTGTTTGAATGAAATCTATTGGCCAATTTATCGTAGTTTAAAATTTCATTACGATTACGGCGACTCGTATCATTTTGTATAAGGATATGCTGGAGCATGTAGATAATTAATCAAATAAAGCGTTAAAACTTCAATAATAATGTTAGATTATAAATAAGACTTATCAGAACAGAATAAGAAAATATTTTTACATAAATTTGCACAATATTTGTTCATTTCCATTAATTCTCTTCGATCAGATCAAAGCAACTATCCTTTCAAATATGATGTTTTACTGTTTTTAACATTTCCTTAAAACTATAGCCATTTGTTCATGAATAAACTTGAGATTATACATAAAGACTGTGTATCTCATACCATTTCAGCCAAAATTCAAAATTCAGTTAGCTTGCTAAAAAGGCCGAAAGATTGCTGATTTGCCTATATATAGAACTAATAATAAATTCAGCCAATCGAAATTATAGATAAATATTACCATACCCGCTCGACTTTATTATATTATTTAAAATGACTAATATACGTACTTTTCCTCGTATGAAATTTTTGATACAAAGAAAAACTGCAGTCACAAATGAATCAAACACAAAAAAAAAAACAATAAATGTATTCCACATTGTCATATACTTTGTAAAGAGACAGTATCATTTATTAAGATGCAATAATAATTTGACTAAAGAGTAATCTTGGGTTTAATAGACACTCAGTTGGAAAAAAAATGTAATAATCAATGCATTTCTGGAGTATATATATATATTTTTTATTTGAAAATGAAGATGATTTTAAATATATACCAAGTCAACGCAAATATCAATATAATACTTTGGAAGATATCATAGGCAGAGAAAAATTAAAAAGCATGACCAAATAATACATAAACATAAAGGTACATTTTATTTGAGGACTAATATAGAGTAACATTTTGTTCTAATGTTAAATAAAGTTCTAGATTTATTTTTCTTATGAGAAACTTGTGAAGATGAATTATTTTCTAGAATTTCTTATTTAATTATAAAATAAATATTAAAATATTTTGATAGTAATTATAAATCTTTTTTATTATTATTTTTTCTTTTTTTTTGAATATTATTAATAGAAGAGAATGACACTAATTCACATTTTCTTTTCATTTGTCTAAAAAATCATTAAAATCAGTTTCTTCCTCCAATTTATTTGTTTACCCTTATTATTGAGTGCTTTGTATTTAAGAATATAATCAATATATTGATGTTTTTATCAACAGGAGATTTTTGAATATCTAAATGAATTTTTTATCAAAGTCAATGAGCAAAATAATCAATGTTTTAGCAACATTGTTTTTTTGTTTGTCTTCAATTATAATATATAATTAACTCTTCTGTCTCATTTGAAATCATCAAAAACCATCACCATCATCTTGTATCAAGCTTGTTGAATTATTTTTGTCTTTATATTTTGCTCTCTGGTAGGGTACGGAATGGGCCAGGCTTGGGTTGGACTTGCTAAATATCGGGTTGGGTTCTGGCTTTATGAACATGCCCAACTGTGCCCAGCCCAATGGCCCAATAAAATACCCTTTAGAATTATTGCTTCGAATATTAAGTTATAATTGTCATGTAAATTATGGGACATTTATTCATATCTATATCTAATCAATTAATCATTAATTACATTAATGTTAATTATAACTTATTCAACCCATTTACTTATGTCTTTTTCTTTCCCAATACTGAATGGACAAAGCAAGTAATTTTAAAAATAGAATCAAAAATAATAATAATAAAAAGTACACGTTTAAAATTTATGGATTTGCTATTTTAATATAAATATATACCAATACATTGAACATAGATAATAAATTTTAGCCGATCAGCATAACTTAATGAAAAAAATGAGCTGCGCTTTCATAATTTATTCATCAGAACGGCCAATTTTTATAAAGCTTATACATAGACCCGTACGATGCATGGAATCGTTTAAATTTCATATAAATTGGTGGGCTTGATGGGCCGGACCAAGTTTTAAAATAAAACCCAGGCTTTCTATTGGTCCTATTGGGCTTAAAAAATATTCTTCAGTGATTTAGGTAAGCCCGGCCCAACCAGGCCCATTCCGTACCCTACTCTCTGATATTTACTATTGCATGTACAACAAAGGGTGAAAGTATGATCTCTATTACAGTATTAAATTTCAATTGGATTAATTTATCCGGACAGTCATCATCATATGCATATGATTTCTTAGTGTAACAGTAAGACATGCTATAAAAAGGTTAATTTTTAATATTTTTTAAAATTCAAAAGATTCAAATATGATAGTGAAACTTGATAGAGATTGTTTATGGCAAATATTTGCCAATCTAGAACATGATAAAAAATCATTACATTCAACGATTCTCGTCAACCGAATTTGGTGTGAAATTGCCATTCAATTTTTATGGAAAAAACCATTTCGTTATTTATACACTTGTCCCAAAGCATGTGGTTGCGTAGCGGAAAAACGACATAAGAAGGCTAGAAATCTTCTTTCAACATTTATCACTTGTATGGCTCATAATCAAACGTCTACCAGTATTGATATTCAAGATTTTGTAGTATGGACGGCATCACCGCCTACCACTTTTAATTATTTATCTTTTTTGCGTCATATCGATTTGTACGATTTATTTTTGACTCTAAAGGATGGTGTTAAATATTTAATATCGAATCAATATTTTGACTTCGTAATAGCTTATCAACAACATAAGCAACATAAACAAGATAATTATCAACAACAACAACAACAACAACAACAACAACAAAAAAATAATAATAATATTTACTCATCAAATATTCAAGATAATAATAATTGGGAAAGTAAAGTTATTCAAGAAATGTCTCGTGATATATGTAAGCTCTTGGTTTTACATTGTTCAAATCTTAAAAATTTATCAATTGATATGTCTAATAAAATATGGTTACCGGGTTATCGATGTTCAAGTTTACCTAATATTTCTTTCTGGATTACATTTGATGAAATTCCCATAGAACTTTTAAAAATTCCTACTTATTCTGGATCAAAAAATTGTTTATCACAACTTGTAGAATTTTATTGGGGTTCTACTCATTGGACTTCAGAATTTTTGGTGGCATTATCTAAAGTTTCACGTAAATTAAAGAAACTTGTAATTGATATGTCAAATTTCGGTAGAAATGAAAGTATTACAAATGCTCAAAATTTAGGAAAATTAATTATGGCTCAAACCGCTTTACAAGATATAGAATTTATTAAATGTAAACCTACCGTATTACCAGTAATTATGCAAGGACTTCGTACTCAATCAAAAACATTAAGACGATTCTTTTTTCAAGGAATGGTTAAAGATTTTAGTGTATTTTCGGAATTAATTCATTGTATAAATCTTCAAGAAATTTATTTTATTCGATGTAATTTTCGATGTAGTGAAGTGGAAATGTTATCAGTTTCACATTTTCCAAAATTGATAAAACTTATTTTTAATATTGTTTGTTTTCGATTTCCTATAATCATTCCGGAAATTTTATTACAAAATTCAGGAAAAAAAATTCGAACATTTTCATTACAACAATTTTATTATCCTGTTAATATTAATAGTGATGGATTTATACCAAGTGTAGCATCATCAGTAGCTAAATATTGTCCAAATTTAGTGGAATTTGAATATTTCGTTACGAAAAAAGAATTCCCTCAATTAGCATTATTATTCGCATCATGTCCACATTTAGAAAGGGTAGCACTTTCGGGTAAATATGAAAATGTTGAAGAATTATTACCAATGTTAGCAAGTCAAGAATTACCAAATTTATCAGAATTCGAAATATTAGGATATTGGACATTTTCTCCTTCATCATTAGAAACATTTTTTATTCAATCGAAAGCACCATTAAAGAAATTTATAATTAGTTATTCACCATGTTTCTCTGATGATCATATGGAAGTTATATTAAGATGTTTTGGTGATAATAATAATAATAATAATAATAATAAATTATCAAGTTTATATGTAGAAACTAAAAAAGAATTATCAGAGGATATTTTAATTAAAGCTAATACTTGTATTCAAGATTTTGTTTATAAGATGGTAAATGATAATTATGAAACATTTGAAGCAGAAAGAAGTGGTTATAGTCCAAGAATTTCATATTTAGGAGTTCCGATGGACATATGTCTCATATAAAATACAATAATATAATATTTGATATTTATAAATTTATTGCATTTACATTTATAGATAGATTTCAAATTTTTAAAATCTCTGGTATTTTTTATTATTATTAATTTTTTTTTTTCATTGCATCTTAAATTAAGGGAATCCTGAATTAAAGGTTTTTTCTTTTATTAATAGTGGCAAGGAATACAAAAATGAAAAGATTTGTCAGCATAATAGAAATTGTAATTTAAAATACCTGTAATTCTTTTTTTTTTTTTAGTTAATAATAATAGTAATAATAATAATAGTGATAATTTTTGATACACTAAAAATCTTCATCAAGGATACTAAAAAATATTTGTGCGTGTAAAGTTGTATTATATATTTATTTATACATTTTTATTTTTTTTTTAAAAAAATTCGTTTGTCGTGAATATATGCACATATATATAATACAGTATATATCTAAAGATTATTATTCCAAGATTATACTGTGCATTATTACTATTATTTTATTTTATTTTTTCCTTCAGCTGATTTTATTTCAAGTACCACTGAAATGACTTTTTGTTATTATTCTCATTACTATTCTCATTATTATTCTCGGATTTTTCAGATTCTCGTATATTTTTTTCACCATAAAACATAATGAGAGAAATAAAAAGAATGAGAATGAGAAAATAATAAGAGAAGAATAATATTATATTTTTATTATTTTACTCATCGGTGTCCATTTCGACATCAAAATTTTTCGCGTGTTCGCTTACGATATGTTGATAAAATTCTTTTGGATATTCTATAAAATTTAAAATAATATAGATGAATGAATAATGTGATATTGATTTATGAAATAAATGAAAGAAAGAAAGAAAGAAAGAAAGAAAGAAAGAAATAAATAAATAAATAAATAAATTGACAATATACCAGATCCACGAATAATTAATGCATAACAAGCTACAAAATAAATTAATAAAAAATAAATACGTAATAATTGATGATGATGACAACGATTTAATTAACTAAATAAATAACAAACTAAACCATCTTCAACTTTAATCAAACTTTGATGCATTATTTCCATTTTTTTATTTAATGGATCTCTCTTGGGAATTTTTAGAATATCGTAACCTATTAATTAAATAGAGATTCATAAAAAATTTATAATAAATTCATAATAATTCAAATATCATAAATTTTTACCTGACTTTATATCGCGTAAAAATTTACAAATTTTAATTGCACGATCGTGATCACCAACACCAATACAATTAATTGCATGTCTCATTAATTCCCCAGTTAAATCCGCTATACCTAATAAGTAATCATCATTTGTGACCAATAAGAACTAAAATTGTTTGAAGGAATTATTAAAAGTAAATAACTAAAAATTAGAATTATTAAAAATAAATAAATAAAAATTAGAATTATTAAAATAAATAAATAATAAAAATTATTTTTGAAGGAATTAATAAAAAAAAATAACTTGAAATAATAAAAAATTAATCAATAAATAAATAATAGATTTAAGAAACCTTACTTGAGAACCTTCTTCATCTTTAAAATCAATATCAACCTTTTCTTTAGAAATTAATGTATCATTTTGTAAATATTCTATAAATGAAATAGCCTCAATATATTCTTGAATTGCAGGAGAGATACTTTTATGATATCTATTTTTATTATTAATTTTTTTTTTAAAAAAAAAAAAATAAATAAATTATATAAATCTTTGTAAATAAAAATAGATCAAAATTTTAAATTCTAAAAATAAAGATACCTATAAAAATCGGAACCTTCCAAATCAAGAGATACCTGTTTAAACATATTAATTATTTCTGTTCTCTTGGTTGTTGCTTCATTAAGTATTGATTTTAATGGTTTATGTGTAATTCTGAAAAAATAAATTTATTTTTGACAAAAAATTATTTGGTTAACCAAAAAAAAACTTTAATCACAATCACAATTTTAATCAAAATAATATGGCACAAATATAATTGATACCCGATAACTAATAACTGATGAATGAATGAAATACAACCTGTGCGCAGTATATATTAATTTTTTACTCTGTGATGTAATATCTCTATAGAAAAAAATTATAAAATTAAATTATCAAAATATTTAAGATATTAATTAGAGAATTGATAAGAAAAAATACCTTGAAAGCTTAATAATACGTTCCCTGCGATCATACTTTGCGCGAAAAAAAAATTTATTAATAAATTATTTTTTTACGCCATTAGAAAATTTATAATATATTATAAATATATTTTATCTTACATGAAAATCAATTGCATCCCTAAACGATGAAAAACTATTTTTTATCTTTTCAACTTCACTACCACCATCACCACTACCATCGCCACCATCACCACCAAAAACAACGACACCAGAAATACCAGTATCAGTCATCGTATTTTTTAAAAAACAATTGTCATTATTTATATGATAGACATGCATGATTTCACGTGTCGTGTGTCAATATAAAAATACTGTATTTTCATTATCTATCTAAATTGTCATCATAAAATGTCTCCTCCAACAACAACAACAACTTTATCACCAAACTATGTTCCTGATAAATATCCATTTTTAACAAGACGAGAATTTGAAATTTCTGCAAAATCATTCATAGAACAATCTCGAAAAGCTGGAGATATAGAAACTTGGAATTGGGTTGAGCATGAGGTAAACAGACTTTATTTAAGTTTATTGAGATTAATCAATAAACAAATTTAATTATTAAATTAAATTAACAAATAATAAATAAATTAATTAAATTAAATAAATAATTAATTTAATTTTAAAAATTAAAAATTTATAGAAATTAAAAGGATTTGGTTACCTATGTAAAAAAACAATAATAAAGAAAGTTACAAATAAGAATTCAGTAAAAACAATGGATGAGGATGAGGATGAAGATGATGAAATTTTAGAATGTGAAGATCCAAATGTATGTAATTCACAATAATAATGATATTTGATAATAATAATAATAATAATAATAATGATAATAATGATAATAATAATAATAATAATGATAATAAATTAAATAGGAATTAACCACATTAAATAATCCCTATAATCCTGAAGATTATCTTACTGTAGATTATCATATTATTTATTCAACTTCTTATAAAGTACCTGTGCTTTATTTTAATTCTTATCATAATGGTTTGATTGATTTTATATTTAATTAATTATTTTATTCATTTTAGGTTTCTTTATTTACTTGAATTAATTAGAACAATAATAATAATATTATTATTTTATTGTTTATTATTTATGTAGATGGAACTTCACTATTAATTGATGAAATTTATTCAAATTTGATACAATCTTCAAGAATTAATGATATTAAAACTGTAGGATTTAATGGTGGCATATCACAACAGGTTTGTTATTCTATATTTATTTATTGTATTTATTATTACATTAATATATAATTTATTTATTTATTATAATTGTTTATTATAATTATTTATTATTTATAAGTCAATTCTCTTATTATTCTTTTTTTGTATATATTTCAAATTCTTTAATTTAGGATCATCCAACACTTTCTATTCCATTTTATTATCTTCACCCATGTGAAACTTCTACATTAATGAAATCAATAGTTGGTAAGTTCTTTTTTTTTAAAAAAAAAAAAGATTTTTAAATTTTTTTTATTATTTATATTATTTATAATCAATTATTTTTAAATAAATTACTATAGGTTTTAATTCTCAAAATTCAAAAGTATGTCAACAAGAATTAATTGAAAATGACAAAAGTGAATACAATAATAATAATAATAATAATAAAATTAAAAAAAAAGAAAAATTAAAGTCCAATAATGAGAAATCTTTATATGAAGAAGAAAACAAATCATTACCACAATTTATAACATTAGAAGGATATATTAGAAGTTGGTTAAGTATAGTTGGACCTGTTATAGGAGTAAAAATCAGTATTGGATATTTACTTTGAATTTTTGACGTTTGTAATTGTCAAATAAAACTATAAAACTAAATACGCATAAATGCTTAAATCATGAATTGTATAAATTACCATTTAAATTCATTATTCATTTTTCATTTTGAATATTATTTAGAAATTTTTGTTTTTTAAAAATAATATTGTTTTATATAAGGTAATGTTACCCTTCAACTTTTAAATTTTTAAATTATTATCAATTATAATTTGATAATTTATAATTGATATATTTTACAAATGATCCTTTAAAACCTTTAATTAGTAAAGGTGATTTAACTTTTTTAAATTAAACTTTTAAAACTGATAATAAATAAGTTTTATTAGTATCTTTAAATTAATTTAGTAAATTCTAATTCAGTAAATATTAATGAAATCAAAAAAAAAAAGAATTAGAAAGAAATGACTCTAGTTTACAATGAAGGCAATATTAATACGGTACTTCAGTTGTTGTTCGAAAGTAAGATTAACATTGATTTGTCAATTATATTTTATAAGTCGGTTGTTTATTAATAAAAAATATCTTATGAATAGAGCCTTTTTTGAGGATATCACATAATAGGTTGCCTTTTTAAATAATTTTTCTTTTTTGTTCTGAAAGAAAGGAAAAAAATCTTAGAATAAAATAGAACACAACGCGTAAGAAAATACATAATGATTTTCAAGTCAACAACGAAAAGAAATGAACATGATGGATCTTACATAAATAAATTAAATGAATATATTATTATAATAAAGTTCTGAGTAAAATATTCAGTATATTTGAAGCAAATGGATTAAATATATATATTTTCTTTTTCTTTTCTTCATTATTTTGTAAATATTTCCTTTTCATTATTCTCTTGTAAAACTTTTTATATCCTGTACATATTTATATTTATTTTAGTGAATGTATTAACAAATGTTTATTCGTTGCTAATTAATGCTTAATAATAAAAATATAATCAAATTAATTATAAAACAAAGGATATTTTTTATTAAGCAAACATATATAGATCCGGCGATGACAATTAACAACATATGGTATATAGTATTTTCCTTAGATAAGTATAAAACTATAGATAATTACTTTTCTATATATTAGATGATCATCATAGCTTACAACTTTCTTTAAAAAAAAAAAAAAAGTAAAAATATTAAATAAGAATTCTGAAAAATGAAGATAACAAAAAATCATTACGCATAATCTTTATAAATTAGTGATTTGAGCTTTAATTTCAATAAAATTTATTTTAATGAAATCTTTTTATGTAATATTTGACCACAAGAATATAAATAGATCACTTTGAGTTTGTCTTACCGACAGACAATCTCACACTTTTGTCTTTTTTTTTTGACGTTTAATTCATAAAAAGAAAATGTCTCTAAAATTTTTTGACAAGTTATCTCAAAACCTTATTGAACTTCTCAATGATAAAGATGATTACAATGTAATCATTGAAGTTGAAAATAAGAAAGAATCTTTCACGGCACACTCTAATGTATTGAAATATCGATCATCTTGTTTCCGTAAGGAATTAGAAAATGTTCAGCCGAATGAGAATAATATCAAAATAATTATTAAGTCAAGAATTTCTGCTAAAATTTTTGAATTCATTCTTAAGTAAGTTATAATCTAAAATAAAAATATACATTTATTTTTATTGAATTTATTTTATTTACAGTATTATTGTTTTATAAAAATTATTAATTTCTTGCAGATACATTTATGGCGGAATTATGAATTTGGAGAATGTTGAAACTAGATTTATTTTTGATTTAATGTTAGCTGCTGATGAATTTGAACTTGAGGAATTATCCAATAAGTTAGAAACTTTTCTCATTGATAATAAAGGCTCATGGATAAGATCACATTTTTCTTTTATTTATCATTTAATTTTTAGTAAAAATAATTATAAAAAATTAAAAGATTATTGTAATGATATTATTGCCAAGTATCCAAATCTTATTTTCGATAGTTCGGATTTTAATTCCCTTCCTGAATCTGCCCTGGTGTCACTTCTCAAGCGAGATGATTTACAAATTGAAGAGATCAAAATTTGGGATTATATTATCAAGTGGGGAATTGCTCAGAATCCTAATCTCTCTGCAAACCTTGAAGAATGGACCAAAGACAATTTCTTTACACTAAAAACTACTTTACAACAATGTCTATCACTTATTCGTTATTTTCATGTTCCAAGTATTGAAGTTATTGAGAAAATCGAACCATATAAAAAGATTCTTGATAAACAACTTTGGAAAGATATTATTCATCATATAGCAGCTCCTGACCAACCAGTAAAATCAACTATCTTACCAGCAAGAACAACTTTGGTTGCAGAATTGCCTCCTCGGGCAAATGAACCAAAAGAACCTTTTTCAACTATCATTTCTGAAGAACACGCAGCAGAAATTTCTAGTTGGATTGATCATAAAACAACCACTTATTCAACAACAAATACCCCATATAAATTTAAATCAATTTTATGTGGCACTAGAGATGGGTTTGCTCCACAAACATTTTGGAATATTTGCCATGGTCATGCTAAAACAGTTATGGTAGTAAAAGTTAAAGGGACTGATGAGATACTTGGAGGTTATAATCCTTTAGCTTGGAATAATACTAATGATAGTATATGGGGGACTGGTAAATGGATGAATACAAATGATAGTTTTATTTTCTCACTAAAAAATGGTAATATTAAAAATTCTATTCTTAGTAGAGTAAAAAATACCCAAAATGCAATTCTTTATATATATAAATTTAAACAAAATAAGTGGGGTCCATATTTTGGAGAAGATCTTCATATTCAAAGTTTTAATGATAATAATAATTTCACTTTAGATAATCATTGCTACTGTAGTACTAAAGGTATGAATTATGAAAAATCTATAAGTACATCACAAAACTTTTCTATTGTCAATTATGAAGTATTTAAAATTGATAGAAAATCTTAATCTTTTCGTGTTTTATAATTATTAAATTTGTATTCACTTTTTTTTTATAAAATAATAAATATAAAAACTTCTTAAAATATATCTATTACTTAATTAGTTTAGCAATTTTCTCTTTAGGATCTCTCCAAGGTGTATTACATTGATCTTTTTTTTACTTTTTAAATTATAATATTTGAAAAAATGAATAAAATTAACATAAAAGATAAAAGCGTAAAAATAAAAATTGGACACGTCTTAGAAAAAAATAAAAGAAACTTTTTATATTTCATTTGGATTTCATTTTTTACGTACTATAAAATATTTATATGGAGAAATATTTTTTATTAATTTTTTTTTTATCAATAATAAGACATATACAAAATATACAAAGTATTGTATTTGAATATCTCAGGTTCGTGGCATAAAAGAAATGTTGCAAATTATGATTATGTAGATTCTAAAGAAAAAAAAACAGATAAAGAATATTTCTCATATTCCAAAGAAAAGAATAAATGAAGAATGATACTTCGTTAGTTGATAAATATCAATTATTTAATCAATTAAATCGTAAATATTTTTTTGTTTTATTTAATAAATTTATTTTCCCTAATATTTTTTTTCAAAAGTTTTATTATCGTAAGATTATTATATTACAGAAAAAAAAATATTATTCTAAAGAAAAATAGATCTTAACAATAGTACAACGTAATAGCACAACTTTAAAAGACATCACTCATATCTAACGTGATTCCACGAATTAAGAAAAAATAACAGATATGAGGTGATGAAACTCTAATTACTAATTGGTAAGTTCATGTCTATTTTATAACAATAATTCTTTAAATTTGGTTGTAAACTTTAATAAATTATATTTAAAATTATTTGATGACTACACTTTAATAGCGAAAAAAATTTATTCAGCAAGACAATAAATAAAAATCACCACAACGAACAAAGTGAAAAACTTTCTATTACATGATTATCATAATTATTACATCCATTTTCAAAAATTGTGAATATTAAATGCAAAGAAATAAAGAAAATAAATTTTTTAAGGCAAAAATAAAAATCTCAATATTGCGTGATTGCAAGAAAAACGTTATTATTATTATTATTCCTCGCTACTACATACAAGATTAGATCGATAATATGTATGTGAATTTTTTGTGTGACTTGTATTTAGATTTATTAGAGAAATTTTCTTTCCTGTCCTGTTACCTTGAAATTAATTATCATGTCCACTACAAGGTAGTTTATATAAGAAAATTTAAGATAAATAAGAAAAAAAAATTTTTTTAAAAAAAAATTGATAAACAATTGATAAAATTAATAGAAAAATTTTGCTTATTGGTTCTGGATTTGTCGCTGGTCCAGCAGCGAAATATATATTGCGACGTCCAGAAAACCACATGACAATTGGTAAGCGTCATCACCTCGATAAAAAATTTTTTTTTTTAATAATTTTAACAATTTTAATATTTTGGATAAAATTTATTTTAGGATGTCGAAATCTTTCTCAGGCTGAAACGCTTGCAAATCAATTTCCTAGAACAACACCAATTTTTCTTGACGTAACTATTGAAAAAGTGCTCGATGAAGCTGTTTCTAAACATGATTTAGTCATTAGGTTCGATGATAATAATTATTTTAAATTATTTATGATTGTAAAAAAAAATATATTATTAAATGACGAAATTCTGTGATGAATTCAGTTTAATCCCTAATGTGTATCACTGGTTGGTATTTAAATCTGCTATTAAATTTAAGAAGAATGTCGTCACAACTAGTTATGTTTCTCCAGCTATGAAAGCATTTGATGAAGCGTAAGTATAAATTTCTTTATTTCAATTCCTTCTTTTTATGAATTTTTATTACGCCAAATATTTAATATTATAATTTATTTTTAAATTTTATATTATTCAGTGCTAAACAAAATGGATTAACTTTTATGAATGAAATTGGTTTAGATCCTGGTAATTATTCTTTTGGAATAAATAAATAATATTAATTAATTAGAAAATATTTTAATAATATAATTATTTCAAATATTAGGTATTGATCACCTTTATGCCGTAAAGATGATCGATAATGTTCATTCTGCCGGCGGAAAGGTACAAATATAGTAAAATATATTGTAAAATTAGTGAATAGGTTATTTTAATATTATATATTTTATATTTAGATCAAATCATTTATTTCATATTGTGGAGGTCTTCCTGCTCCTGAAGCTTCTAATAATCCACTTGGTTATAAATTTAGTTGGTCATCTCGTGGTGTTTTATTGGCACTACTTAACTCTGCTAAATATTATCAAAATGGACAGGTATTATTACATTATATAAATACTTTTCTGATAAAATATTATTTTATTAATTCTTTAATTTTACTAATTCTATTAACTCCAATATTCCGTGTCATTGATGAAAAGGTTGTCGAAATTCCTAGTGAAAAACTTATGTCATCAGCCAAGCCATATTTCATATATCCAGCTTTCGCATTTTTGGGATACCCTAATAGAGATTCTACAGTTTTCAGAGAACTTTATAAAATTCCTGAGGCTCAGACGATTCTACGTGGAACTTTAAGATATCAGGTTCTAATCCTTTAAGATTTCTTTGTTTGATTTTTTTTTTCTTAGGAATAATCTTTATTTATATTTATTTATTATAATTTTTATAGGGATTCACTAATTTTGTCAAAGTTATAGTTGACATAGGTCTTTTAAATGATTCCCAACAGGATTACTTAGAACCTAATGCACCAGATATTACTTGGGTACTCTTTTTCTAAATGTTGTATTTCTTTCTTTTATTTTTATAATTAATTTTCTAATAACAAATAATCATATTATAAACAATTATTTATTTAAAGAGAAATTTGTTAGCAAAAGCTATTGGATCACCCAGTAGTTCTGAATCGTAAGCACAATTATTATTATTTTTTTTTCTACAAGATTTATTCAAGATTATATAAGATTTATTCAATTTGTAATACATCTTTAATTATTTTGAATTATTAGTGACCTTCGACGTCAAATTGCTTCTAAAATCACTAATCTATCAGAAGAAGAAACTGAAAGAATTCTTAAAGGATTAAAATGGATAGGTCTTTTCTCGGAAAACTATGTTGATCGTCGGGGAACATTGCTTGATACCTTTTGCTCAGCTCTTGAAGAGAAAATGCAATATGCTGAGGATGAAAGAGACATGATAATTCTTCAACATAAATTTGAAATCGAAACTAAAACGGGAGAAAATGTAATATTAATGTATAATATAATCAAATTTTTAAAGTTTATTAAAGTTTATTAAAAGTTTTATTTTGATGTTGATTTCATATATAATTAGGAAATTTGGACCTCGACTTTATTAGAATATGGTGAACCTCGGGGTACATCAGCAATGGCTACCACAGTCGGTACACCTTGTGGAATTGCTGCTCAATTAATTTTAGATGGTGAGTTTGATTGTATATATATATATATGTTTAATTTATATTAAAATGACAATATTTTCATTTATTTTCTATTTTATAGGAATCATTAATGAGAAAGGAGTTTTAGCTCCATACACACCAGAGATCAATAATCCAATAATTAAGGCTTTGGAAAAAGAAGGAATTAAAGTTATTGAAGAAAAGTTATAGTTTCTGATATTAATAATTTTTCAAGTTGTAAATTAAGTTAGGGTAAGCAGGCCGTTCGGTAGGCTATTCTGTAATTTAATCTTAGAAATTTTTTATTGTTTTTATTGGTTTATATGTATTGTACAAAACCCCGTATAATAAAAATAAGGCTTCGTTTGAGAGAAAAAAAGTTGTAAATTAACCAAAATGTTTTGACTTTGGAATATTTGTAACCTCATATTTATAAATTTAGCCAGAAATGAATTTAATTTTTTTTCATTCCTTTAAAATTTGAAGCTGTTAAATTAAGAATAATTAATTAATTTATTAGATTTAACTTTAAATTTACCTGGCCATTCTATGGTTAAATAATCATCTCCAATATCTATTGAAAGTAATTGATATGTTGACTTAATGGTTTACTTATATAATATACTTCAGGGTGATGTGTGATATTTATGATTTTTTATTCTTTCTCATCTCTTCATCGGCCTTTTTGAAGATCCAAATAACATAATATAATTCTTTACTTGGTGAATCATTTTGCCAACATGATTTAATTAAATTTACATAAAACTCTGGTTGTCCCTGAATCAATACCTTTACAACAAATATCTATAATCATGTGGACAATCACTAAGTGGTACCTCTCTTGATTTTAATTCTCATATAATAATTCCAGGGCTAAATATCTGATGCTGGTGTAAATTGGCTTTCCACGTAATAATTCGGGTGAGATGCCATGTATGGAATTATTTCATAAATTTCATTTGATTTTGCTTCATAATTGGATGGTTTTCATAATCCAAGATCACTTAGATACGTGTTCTACAAATCACTCCACTTTAATCGGTCCAGTTTATTATTTTGAAAAAGTTTTAAATTAAATAACAAAAAATTGACTGTGCTTAGTGTTCAAAATGTAAACTACTAGAAATAACTCCTATATTTTCATCATGGACAAGTGGAAATGATGAAATTCAAGAAACTCAATTGGAACCAAAAAATAAGGATGGAGATTACTTAAATTAGATAATATTAAATATCTATCAAGGGAGGGTATGGTTCTGTATATAAAGTTGTATGGAATAAATTGCCACAAAAATTTATAAAACATTATTCAAATGAATCAAGATAATAGAAATGAATAAATTAAAAAATTCTCAGAATATTACTAAAGATTTTATTGATGGGGAAATTTATTTATACAAATTATTTGTATTTTTTGAATTTTGCTAATTTATATAATGCTTTAATACAGATCAAAGAATATCTTCAAAATATAGCTTCTTATATTATAAAAATATATGATATGGTATAACTCAAGACCAGAATATGCGACATTTATAAAGTATCGCAATAAAGGGAGATTGAAATTAAAAATGTTATTAAGTATAACAGTTACACTTGAGAATATTCATCCCGGTAATGCTTTACAAAGTAATTGATACATTACAATTAAGAAATTTCATTTAAATTAATTGAATATCTGTTTAATTTTCAATTGCATAAAGTAATTCAAACAAATCTTAACTTAATTATCATTAAATTAAAATTCATTTTATTTATATCAAATTTTAAAATAGAAAGTTGAATATGTGTCGGTGAAGGTAAAAAGATAGCTTGTAAGGTAGGTATGCCTTAGAATGAGTAGCTTCAGCAGATGATAATTCAAAATCTTCATCCTTCATTTTATGATCTGAATTTAAAAACATAAGTGAATGTTCTTTATTATCATTAAACATTAATTCAACAATCCATTCTTCTAATATATCAAAAATCATTTCAACATTTAGACACTTGGTTGGATCTTTGTACCAACATTTTTTCATCAATTCTACATAATATTGAGGTATACCTTTTAATGATACCTGTCATAATTAAAAAGGAAATTCAAAAGTGTAGTAATTAATTACAACTTATGATGTAATTAGTTGCAACTGGTTGCAAATAATTAGGATAGCATCTTTAGTACCTTCATTAATTTTTGATCAAAGTCCAATGAAAACATCAAAAAGCCAATTCTGAATTATATGCTCTAATATCAAATGGTATTTTTCCTGTTGAAATTATTCATATAATAATTTCACCACTATAAATATCTGAAGCTTGTGTATATTGGTTGAATAAAGAAAAATATGCAAAATTTTTGACACAAATATGTAGGGAGATACACGGATAGGCAGGGAAATTTGTGGATGATACACAAATAGGCAGGATTATTTGAGATGATATGCAAATAGGAAGGGAGATTTGTGAATAATATGCAAATAGGATTTGCACCAAAAATTTTGTCAATTTTTGATTATTCAATGTGGTATAATACTTCAGGTGCAATATATGGAAATATACCATATCAATATGCTCCAGATGATAATTTGAATTATCAAATACTTCAGTTATTATAAGATTGCTGAGATGAAGATCATGATGGATAAGTCCTTTACTGTGAATTACTTTTAATCCCCTGATAAAAGAATTCAATAACCATAATCATTCAACCAATGTTAATAATTTATTTTGTTTCAGAGAATCTATCAGATTTCCATTTTTATATATCATAGAACTATTGTTGGATCTTGGGTTATATCTAAATTGGCAAAACATATATGTTTCAACATTAGAAATTTGCAATTGACTATATTTATAAAAAAATATGAATATGTATATTTATATTAGACAAAAACATATTGATATATTGATATATTGATATATTCAATATTTACCTCTTAAAAATCTGAACTAACTTCTTGTGAATCCTTAAGCTTCTTGAAAACAATTTGATTTGATTTATAAAATTCAAATAACTCTTCAGGCATACCTATTTATTCTGCTTTCCAAATACTGCCAAACCCTGCTTCAGCTAAATATTCTATAACCTTGAATTTACTATCATCATTTGAATAATCTTGTCAATTAAAAATACTGCTAGTTCATTTTGGCATTTCTATAAGTTTACAATTTGAATATGTGTTATTTTTTAAATTTAATTCTTCACAATTATGACATCTATGCTTTAATTTATTTTGTCATTTTTTTATCTTGAAATACCAATTTCATTTCAATAACAATAACTAAGATTAATTTGTCCAAATTCTTCCTTCAGCTGATTTCAAGTACTGCAGAAATGCTTTCTCTTCATCTTTTCTGACTCCAGTTCCTTAGTCAATATTATTCTATCCCATAGGATTTCCTCCTTCAGCTGATTTCAAGTAACACTGAAATGCTTTCTCTTCATCTTTTGTGGTTTCAATTCCATACTCATAAAAATATTCAAAATTATTCTGTCCTATATGATTTCCCCTTCAGATAATTTCAAGTACCACTGAAATGCTCTTTGGTTGTTTCAATTCCATTATAACATATAGTTTCCATTTGTGTGAAGATTTTTCTGTCAAAAACTTTATAAAATATTGAATTTCAAAAATTTTATTCTTTTATTAAAAAAATTTGAAATGGAATAAAATTTTAACCGTGATTAATTAATTATGATTATAAGGAATTCACTTTTATATGCATTAAATTGCTTATAAGGATATAAAAATTATAAATAATACTACAGTTGTTAAATGAGTTGATATATATTTAAATTTTTTTTTTTTCATATTATTTTACATTATACGTACATAATGCGTAATGCATGGTACTAATGCAACGTAATGTTCTAGAAATAGGAAGTGGTTCAGATGCTTTAGTTATATCTTATATTCTTTTGTCATGAATTCATCTACAGCAAATGCATTCCTTTTCTTTTTCTAATCCCTGAACTTTGTGAACAGTGAATTGGGTTCGACTTGCATGAAGAAGAGATGAGGTATTTCTATATCAATAATTCCACTCTCAATACAGAAAGCACATTTAAAATTTAGACCCAATAATAAATTGGATAGGATTATCCCTATGTTAATATGAAACTTAGTTACATCAGATCCAAACTTATAGTTAAAATCGGAAGTATTTTGAAGAAAGAACAAGAAAAAATTGCACCCACATTTTCAAGATAAATGATATCAATTCAAGAATATTTAGAAAGAAAATAACCAGTAAAAGAACTTTAATACTGAACCCTGAAGAATCTAGAAAAAAAAAACAAAAATAGAAAAAATAATTTCTGGCCAATTTGATTAATCACTTAATTGTATTATTTTTATTGACATATTTACAATTTTACAAATGCGAAAAACGCAAATGATTATAAATTTTAAAAAACTCGAAATTGCTTTTTTTACTGAATAACTAAAAATTTTAAAATTTTTGACATTATAATTATGACAATAAACCAATCCAGCTTGATCTACCAGATACATTATGTATGGAAGGCGAACTAAGTGAAATTGTATCAACTCCTGATGAATATGAAGTTTCTACACACCATTCATACCACACTTTTTGGGAAGTTGATAATCTCCAAAAATGAATTTCTAATTTTGTTTTTGATGGTAAATAAATTGGTGTCTATAAAAAAAAAATTATTATTTTAGTATAAATTTTGGAATTTAAAAATTATCAATAATTAAAAAAACATGTATATCTATAAACGATACTTACCTTTATAGGAAAGAAAATAGGAAACCAACTAAACATATCTTTAGTATGTGAAGTTGGACGAATACTAATTGATATATCCTTATATAATATTGATTCGAAATATCCCGCAATACCATGCAACATTCCACTTTGTTTTATATCAAATGTTACTTTGGAATATCGTGTATTATGACAATTATTAATCGGCATTTCTATTAAATTGATTATTTAATTAAATAAATTTCTTATTATTATTTAAAAAAAAAAAACCGACAAAAAAAGTATTCATTTAACCATTATCATCAACTTCAAAAGATTTATTAGGATGTTCAAATTGCCAGATCTCTTGTGATTCCGTTAATTCAGAAGCTGATTGGAACATCACAACATATGGCGTTTCGAAATGAACAAAATCTTTATGTGCAGCAACTTCATTATAAAGCTTTGTTGATGAGATTGGTGAAATGAAAGTTGAATATGAAGTAGGTATGGATACTCCATCAGCTATATAAAAACATAAGAACTATATGAATTATACATTTTATATATATATTATTTCGAAATAAAAATATATAAAGTAGAAATTACGTTTTAAGAATTTTTGAGCGCCATCTAAACATTCTGGTGAAAGTTCGTTATCACCAAACGAACCTAAAAGTTCACTAATTAATAGATCAGCCTAAATCAAGTGCAAATAATGTTAATATGAATTAACTTTAATTATAAGAATGGATCATTGAATAACTTTACCTTTTCTGGAGGGTTCCAAAGACGCATGTCGGAGAATGCTAATGTCACTGAATCTCCCCATACTTCCGTTTTCATATTTTGCAAGCTAAAAAAAAATTTTTTTAATACCTTTTATGCATTAAGAAATAGAGAGAAATAATGATAATATTAAAAAAATCAACATACGAAACGAAAGCATTTGGATTCTTTTCAAGGGCATATATTCTAACTCGTCTATTAGCCTTTTCTGCTGCTGATAAGCTACGCGTAACAAGTGGCCCACGACCAGCTCCAACAACCATGATGACTCTTCATATATTTAAATCAAAATTTATAAGTATTAATTCATAAAATTAATTCTCTTATAAAAATAGATATTTGGATAATATTTATTTACGTAGTTTCATCAGATTCTGGGGGAACTCGGTCAAGTAAAGCATGATATATCGCCTATAAATGATTACAAATATTTCCAAAATAAAATAATAATAAAAAAAAATGTTGATGTAAACAGTTACATACAAATAAAAAATTGAAATTAAATAACTTTTATAAAAAAACGTAAATATCCAAAAGAAATGTTACCAATATCAATTAAATCCAGTTCCAAATTTCATACCTTCTCGTAATATATATATTTTATATTATCTTTCTCAAATATCTCGTAGGTAGATGATTCTAAATTGTCCATTAAGGGCTAAATAACATTAACATTAAAAAATTAATTAAATTGATCATTTATAATATAAATAAATTATAATTTTTACTATAATTATGTTTATAAATATTAAATTAGCTTTAAAAAAAAAAATACCTGCAAAGGAGATTGCAAATAATCTTGATAACCATTAGCAAATTGTTCAATTTGAGTCAATTCTGGAATTGTACGGTTTAAATAACGAATATATTCTTGATATGATGCAAGACCATTATTTTCGTGTAGATCGCTATCCGCGTTACAAGAAATTACAAAGTTTGGCTTATACTGAATAAATATAAAAATATCAACAAAATTAAAATTAAAATAAAATTAATAAAAAAATAAATTAAAAATAAATTAAAATAAAATTAAAATAAAATAAAAAATAAATTAAAAATAAATTAAAAATAAATTAAAAATAAATTAAAAATAAATTAAAAATAAATTAAAAATAAATTAAAAATAAAGATAAATTGTGATAATTAAATTTCATACTTTGATCATCTTTCTAACAAAAGCCTGATGTTTTTTACTTAATACAGGATAGCCTTTAGCATTGGTTAAAAAAATATTTGTAGGTAATATTATAGCTTTAATGGGTTCGGAAAACCATCGTTCGAGCTCTTCATCATCAGGAAGTTGTGCTGGAATTTCCAAAGCTAAATTAACAATAAAAATAATATTATTACTTATATTTCGTTTGTCAAAATAATTTCTTTTATCGTAACAAAATAAGATAAATTAAATATTTTTTTCCTTACCTATACTCAATTTTGAATTATGTTCACATAAAACTCTAAATTTATTCCATCTTTCCCAAGTGACAGATGATTCAAATGATTCGTCTGTCATTAATTCAGTTTCTAAAACTAAAGGAATTTTACACCAAACCTAATTTATATTTGATATATATTTATAACCTTGGTTTCAATATTTGTACATTATTTTAATGAAAAAAAAAATTCAAAGAAAATAAAGAAAAGCAAATGTATTATTATACATAAGTATAAGTCAATGATCCAAGAACAGAATTCAAACTTCTTGCATAGTTCATTATGGAATTGGTTGATGGAAAAGATATTAACACCGCGGAAATTCCTAAATGACAAGCCCAAGAAATTTGTTGCCTTAAAGCCTATGGAAGAAAATGAGAGATAAATATAATAAAATGACAATAAAAAAAAAAAAAGCAAGAAATATATAAATGATTTCATATTTACTATTTCAGAATTTATCCGGACATTATGATCTGGTGAATCAAAATCCAACCAATCTGAAACTTGACCAACAACATAATCGACTAAATCTGTTCATTATTAAAGGAAAGATTTTATAAGACAATAATCAAATATAATTATCAAATATAAAACAATTATAAAATAATTATAAAATAATTATAAAATAATTATAAACAATTTGAAATATATAATTAAAATGAATTGATCACTGACCAGTATTTTTAATTACCAAATCATCCCTAAAAAATACATGATTTTTCCTCCATTCTTCTATAACTTTCGAATTCTTTGCATTATCGGGTTGTTTTTTTTGTCCAGATATAAAACGTTTATAACTCGAACTCACGATAGGAAGAACTATAAAATCATGACCGAAATGTCGTGCTTCATCACTAGAAGAAATAGCATCAGGATCTTCTTGTGAACGATAAAGACCAACTGAAATACGTGGTGGTTGATTTTTTGGAGAATTATTATCCGTCATGCGTAAAATTATTTTTAAAATTGATTGATTTGATAGATGAGATCTTTTTTTAACGATCTTTAACGATCGATCTATCGATTGATTGTCAATTTTTATTCCCCTGCATTTTACCACATTTCTGCAAGTGCAAGTGTATATAAGTATATATGGTGGTGCAACTAATTCAAAAAGTAAATATTTCCTCGTCTATCCAGTTTCAAACTTTTAAAGATATACACTTGGTTTCTAAAAAAAAATTTTAAAAAGTATTTTTTATTTTTCGTATTTTTCTTATAAAATATATAAAAGTTGTTGACTTTTTTTTTTTAATTTAATAATTTTATAATTTTTTTTTTTTAATAAATCTTTTTTATAGAAAAAAAATTGAATAAATTTTCGCATTAAAAAAGTTCATTTATTTAAAGTAATTTTTTAACTATGGAAAAAGATAAACCATCAACTAACCCTATGGTTCATGAAATTGAAGTCAAAGCTGAAGATATTAAGAAGAAACTTAAACATGTGGAAACCCAAGAAAAAAGTATCTTACCAACTAAAGAGGGTAAATAATATTTTCATCCACATATTTGAAATTAATTATAAATTTACTTCTTTATTTATTTTTATTTTATTTCTCGGTAGATATCGAACAAGAGAAGAAGGATGATGATAAAAATGAATCGAAATAGATCCTTCATCGTCTCTCATTTTCTTGTTTAATTTTTGCTATGTTCATTATTCTCGAATAAATTATCGATATATTTATATTGTTTTACATTTGTTTCATCTATAATATTTTAAATAATTATTATAATTATTTCAAATATATAACGTTCAATTAATGTTTAATTAAAGTTCTTTTAATGTTCATTTGTTAATTTAAATTTTTTTTAATATAAATTGAATAAGAAAAGAGATAACTAATAACAGGTAGATATACCCTGTACTAATTTCTTTATTATACTATTCCCTTAACAACGTTCTTTGGTAATGAAAATAATAAATATTTATTATTGCGTCAAGTCACAGAATTCCTTAAATTGTTGTTCATCCAAAATTGTGCCATATTTTAAATTCTCACTCTCACTCATAGAAATAAAATTTTGAAGATTCATTTTTGATTCTTTATTTGAAATTGGTGGATAATCTGGTGGAGGTGCAATCCAAGTATTATCTTCCTTTTTCTGAAAAAAAAAAAAAAAAGTTTTTTTTTTTTATTAAAGAAAAAAACATTATCAAAATATATAAAACTAACCATATGACTTCGATCTGAAGCAAAAACTTTGAGAAATGTTTCTAATGGAACAATTCTATAATATCTATGAAGGAAAAATTTTATTATTCAAATTTATAATATCTGTTCTGTAAGAAAGAAATCTCTATCGCTTTTACCTTTGATATCGTTTCTCGATAACATGAGCCAAAGCTTCAGAAACATAAGTCTTGATTTTACAAGGGAATGATAGAGTTGTGTCAAAGTCATATACCCATGCCCTAAAAAAAAAAATCAAAGATATATAAAAGAATTGTATTAACAAATAATAATAATTATAATAATAATATTGCAAATTCATAAAACCTTTTAGTGTCCGTTTCTTTCAATAACAGAATGACATGATAATCCTGTAAATATTGTTATAAATTAGAATGTTACAAAAAAAAAATTCAATAAAGACAAATATTTTCATAATACCCAAACAACGAATTGATCAGGATCCTTTGCCAAACGTTGTTTCAGAAAAGGCACCTAAATGGTTAAACAATATTAAAAAATATTTCACGTTTATTGTGTCTATATCTAAAACGAATGAAATTATTTACAGCTTTATGTTCATTAGATATGAAACAAGCGAAAACATTGAATTTATTATTATTGTCTAACGTATTTACAATAGAAGAAAACTCTTTACATAAGAAATAAATGTTTTCTTCACAATAATTAGGTGTGTACTTCAATAATAATTTATCCGATAACGGGGGCAACATTGGATAAATTTGTCTTGAATGGAATTTTTTTTTTCTGTACGAATATAAATAAAGTAATTATAAACAATGTAATTGAATAATATGAAAAAACAAAAGGAATGAAATACAGATGATCCATCTGTAATTTTCTATTTAAATTATTTAAATCCGCCCGAAATATTCTCGAATTCTAACAAATTTTCCCTTTTAATTTTTTTTTTGTCACCTTAATCACTTTCTATCACCACCAAATAAATCGATTGAATCGATCATCAAATATGTCAAATAAGCTTTGTGCTGTTTGTTGGCAAATTTCTTATGAAGATTATAAGAATAAATGTAAAAATTGTAATAGTTCCAATTATGGTAGATGTCGCCAATGTGGAGAACTTAACGTAAAATACAATTGGTGTCCGAGATGCAAACCGCTAGAAGTAATTCCTACATTTCAATTTTGGACAAGTGGAAATGAAGAAGTTGACAAATTAATTCAAGAAAATCAATTAAATCCCGATTGGGATTATTTAAAGTGGATTGAATTCGATGAAATTGTGGATATTCAATTTTTATCTAAAGGTGGATTTGGTTCGGTATATACAGCTAAATGGAAAAATATTGAAGTAGCATTAAAGAAATTAAATGATGCTCAAACTATTAGTAAAGATTTTATTGATGAGGTAAATAATCATATTTATTTTCTGATTTTAAATTTCGATTTTATTATTTCACGTTCAATAATTAATTTTTTTTTTTTTTTTATTCCTCGTGTAAAATAATATATCAAATTAGCTTAAAGCACATACTGGAAATTATTCTCATTCTATTGCACATATATATGGTTTGACTCGAGACTCTAATACAAAAGAATATGCTCTAGTTATGAGTTATTATCCCGGAGGTGATTGGAGAAAGGTAATTAGAGATAAAGGTAGTCCATTACTTTGGGAGGATAAATTAGGTATTATATATGATATTGCAAATGCACTTATGGTAATTCATGAAAATGGTTATGTTCATTGTGATATACATCCTGGTAATACTTTAAAAGGTAAATATGGGACATATCTAAGTGATCTTGGATTATGCAAGCCGGCAAATTATAAACTAGAAACAGATGAAGTTTTTGGAATAATTCCATATATGGCACCAGAGGTATTAGATGGAAAACCATATACATCTGCTTCGGATGTTTATAGTTTAGGAATAATAATGTGGGAATTAGCAGCGAGAAAAGCACCATTCAAAGATCGTCCACATGATGCAAATTTAATTATGGATATTTTTGATGGAACATTTCCAAAAACTACCAAAACTATTCCTTATAAAGTTGAAGAATTAATAAAATCTTGTTGTCATAAAGATCCTTCGAAAAGACCAAGTTGTAGGGAAATTGTCAAAACTACTTATATATTACATAGTACACTTAAATATGAATATGAAAACATTGAATATTATGAATCATTTAAAAAAGCTGATGAAGAAATTGAGAAGAGTTGGAGTAATGTGAATGATGATGATGATGATGATAATTATGAATTAACACATCCTGGTGCACATTATACAAGTCGACCATTAGCCCAAGAAATGAAAACGGCAAAAATAATGATTAATCGACGACGACAACAAGATAATAGAGACGAAGAAGAAATGCTTGAATGGTCAGGTAATTATAATGAATTCAATGATTTTAAAGAATTTTCAAGAGTTAGAGTGTATGATAAATTAAAGAAGTTATGTAAGTATCGTATGTTATAAATTAATTAAATTAATAACTTTTTATAACTTTTTTATAATTTTTTCTATAGATTCAGATTTGGTAACAGATGACTACAATTAACTGATATCCGACATTACTATCGCTATTATTTTTGTCATAATTCTAAAAATTTTTAATTTTAATTTATTTAGATGTAAATGTTTTCTTTTTTTGTCTATAATAAACATTATTTTTTAAGTTTCAAACTTGCATAAAAATAAACATAAATAAATATAAATAACCAAATAAAGTAATTGATTGTAAATGTATATTTATATAATATGTATATTCTATTCTATATTACAAATGTATATAAATGCTATGCTAGCTCGAAGATTCAAAAATTCAATTTCTCTTTTTCATAGAAACTTTAAATTATTATTATTATATTTCAATAAAGAAAAAAAAAACATGAATTCAATATTAAATTTTCGTGATGTCGGAGAAACTGTTAAAGAATTGAATATAGAAAAGATTGGGTATAAAAAATATAATTTAAATTTATACGTATAATTAATTTAAATATAATTTAAATTTATATAATATAATTTAAATTTATATAATATAATTTAAATTTATATAATCAATTAATTTTAAAAAAAATTATCTAATTTATTATTTATTATGAATTCATATTTAGAAAAATCAAGAAGGGAATATTATTTCGTAGTGGAGAATTAGGTAAAATCGAAGAATTATTTAAAACAAATTTAATAATTAAGAATGGTTATTTATGATAATTATGATAATAAAATTTTCGATCCTTTATCTTTTTAATTAATATTACAAATTTCTTATTAATTATAATTATTAGACGATAGAAATGAACAAGCTATAGAAAAAATAGAAAAACTTGATATTCGTACAATTATTGACTTACGATCCGGGTAATCTTTAAATTGTATTATCTGATATATTTATTATTAATTTTTAATTATGACCTGACATTTTAATTTAATTTATTTAAATTAAAGGTCATATGAAAATCATAAAGATTCTTTGATAGCAATTAAATATCCTTACGTAAATTATCCTTCTGATGAAGTTTATGATGTAACATTTCTTTATTTTCATTTTCAAAAGGTATAATTAATATTGTTATTAGTACTAATATTATATTCTATTATTTATTTTCTTGGGAATAGAATTATTATGAAGATAATGATGATCTAAATAAAGAAAAACGACAAACTATAAATATTAGTTTTGCTGGAACGAAATTACATAAAAAATTAATTTCAGATGCACCTTTTCTTAGTCAAGTGTAAGATTTTTGAATTATTAAATAAATTTTTACATATTTCTATTTTTAAATCTCATTCATTTTCATAATTTATTTTATATATGTGTATATATATATAAATAGTCAAATTATTTTTTATTTTTTAATTTGTCAAAAACATAAAGCAGCGAAATTAATGGGACAAAGTATAGCATCAAAAGGATTAATGGGAATGTACCGAAATCTTTTAGAAGCCTGTGGTGAGCAAATTATTAAGGTAAAATTTTAATAAATGTGTTCACAACGCGTTAGTGTATATTTGTGTATATTTTGCGTGTGTGAAAATGAATTTAATGAATTTTCTAAAAAAAATAGATTTTTGAAATTATGACAGTTAAATCTAATTTACCAATTTTAATACATTGTAAACATGGAAAAGATCGTACTGGAGTAGTAATTGGTATATAAATTTAAAATCCATATTAATTTTATTAACTTTATCTATTTTATCTATTATTATTATTATTATCATTATTATTATTATTATTATTAACTTTATTAAAATTAATTATTAACTTAATAATACGACGACATCTAATTAATAATAGCATTACTATTATCATTATGTGAAGTTGATGATGAATTAATAGTTCAAGATTATTCAATTTCACAAAGAAATTTAATTAGCGTGCATTCAACAATTATTAAAGATATGGGAAGACTGGGATTACCAGAAAGTTTTGCTGAGGTTCCTCCTGATGTAAATTTTAAATACTTTTCTACATATTTTAAAAGTTATTCAAAATATTTAAATTTTTATAATTATTTTTATTATTTTTAGGTAATGAGAAGTTTATTATTCTATATAAAATCAACACACGGTTCAACTCAAAATTATCTAACTAAGATTGGTTTCAATTTAGAAAAACAAAAGTTACTTTTACAAAATTTGATAGAAAAGGATTAAATATATTTTATATATTATAATTCATTTCATAGTTTTTTTAATTTTATTTAATTTCATTATTTGTGGTTTTTTCTTTATTCATTATAACTCCTCATTATAACTAGAAATTAATGCAAGTTTTCTTTCAATACTAATTAATAATTTTGTTACTTAAATCAAATTTATTAAAAATAATTCTTGTTTAATACTTTATTTACTATTATATGCAATTATTCTATTTGAAGCATAATATAATATAAAATGGGATAATCTATAATATAAAATAGGATTTTGTTTTTTTTTTTTTTGTCGCGCTGCCAACATGTTTGCATGGGATCCGATTTTTGACCATATGCGCAAATGCACACTTGTGATTCTTTTCCTTTAATAATACATATATGTTTACTTGCCTACATGTGCAATTCCCGTCCCATTCTCTTGCTTTCCTATAATTACGCAAGGAAAATTTTGGAATTAGCAATAATTTTCAGTTAATATTTCCAATTCCATTAGCATCAACAACCTACTGTGCCAAGTGGATCTGATGTTGTAGCCTTTAACATTAGCCAACCTATTAAGCTAACTATGCACCAGTTTCGTAAACTGGTAGCCTAATAAGCATCCATTCACACCACTTTCTTTCAAATAAGATTTTACTTGCTTTTTTATAACTGTCATCCCTGTCTCCTATCTCAAGCTTAGCAATTGTTTCAAGACATTTCATGTACCGATCTACTTTCCAAGAATGCCCCAAACTGAAGGATCATGGTTTTTGAAATACTCGACATCATATTATAGAATCAATTCGGTTGTAATGTTAATGAAATTATCTTGAAAATTTGGATACAATGAATATAAAAACGTCACATTCGTCAAGCCCGGCCAGAAGCCTTGAACGACGGGGCAACCCAGAAAGTTACTCAGCGCCTCAACAGGCCAGGCCAGTATCAGATCAGTCAGAATCCTGAACGTCGGGCAACCCTGCACCTCACTCATTCAATAAAAAGCTCATAAGCAACTTGCATGCTTTTGTCCTTCTCATAGGCTTGAAATAGAACAATTTATTTTCCGTTTGAATGTTTCGTTTAGGAAATTCGGAATATTTCATTCAGAAGCTTTGCGTTTAAAATATTTAGGTATTTGTGACTGTACTGCAAAAAATACAACCATTTGATTATTGCACGGTTTTACAAGCATACGCTGGAACGGGGAGAAAGAAAGAACTCGCTATGGGAGTGATATCGTGCGTTTGTTTTACAGTGAACTCTCTATAAATGTACCCTCTATAAGGTTCACCCCTCTATAAATACACCCTATTCCCCAGTCCCATTTACTAATAACACTTATAAAATTTCCCTCTATAAATGCGTTCCCTTTATAAATGCCCCTAATGCTGATTTCCCGGGGGTGCATTTATAGAGGGTTCACTATATAATATTATATTCGTCATAAATAATCGATTAAGACGCGTGACCTTAAATAGAAATAACGTGGTGAAAATTTTTTTTTTACATTTAAAATTCAGGTGTACGTATAACAGATATTGTAAGATCTATTACATGACAAGATGAATTCACCGCTCTAGAAAGCGCTCCCACATCGAAAAAAAAAATCGGATAAAGCTATTAGTGACACAAGTAACTATTGTAAAGATAAAATATAATTCGGCTGCCATTGAATGTACGATCACGTCACGTTATAATAAGCCTGATGGATAGATTCTTTTTTAACATATAAATTGATAAACTCAGCATGATCCGATCCGAAAGGACTTAATGGTGCGTGGACCCCCCAATTTCTGAGAGAGGCCTAAAAGTTGAAACCGAACTCAAACAATATCACAAAGAAGGTAATTCAAAGCATATACCCAATCTTTTTGGCAAGAGGTGATCATTAAGCAACTACAAGCCAAAGAAAATATCAGTGCGAATTTTTAACCTTTTAATGCATTCTACTCTTTATAATTGTCACATTAGCGTCAAGTTCCAAGCACTTCTGATATGGAAACACTCCTTATGTTTGAGAATTCAAGTAAATTTTATGGAAAACAACTGTACATATCTTACAGTGATCACAACGATAACATCTTCATGTTTTCAGTAGCGCTTTAGATTCAGGTTAATTTCTCTGAAGGCTAAGAGGGTTAGTATGGAATATACTTACAATACAAAACTCTTGTTTCTTACTTTTGATATGGTATAGATCAAAATAAGTTCGAAAGATAAAGCTTCTCTTTCTAATCTTCAGAATTGTACACATGGCTTGACTACTATAATTTAATACACATCATATTATTATATTGTTTAGCATCGTATCATGAAACTGCAACAACACAGAATCCGCGCATAAATCTAAAAAAAAAATTTTAACTGTTTGGTACAGACTTAGTTATAAAAAATATCAACACAATAAACATGCTTATGAGAATATATGTAAGTCATCAAAGTTTCAACATTCTTTCCAGCCAAACATGGAAAAGGATATGTAATAATCTTGTGATTTTGCATACTTATTACATTAATAATAAGAAGGGAATATAATTTTTTATGAAGTATAATTCATCCCTCATGAGAATGTATTCTTCCACAGGTCAATGAAGAAAAACAGGCAGATTTTTTTGCAAGTATGATAGGAATGGAGGAGATATTTATATAAAATATTGGATTTGTTCACATTGTTAAGAAACATAATAGAAATATATTTTTCATTTGTAAATATATCCTTATTTATGCTTTTTGATAGTATTGGGTTTGTTCACTTTAACACTCAAGGCAAATCCTGAAGACTCTTATTGAATGAAGGGCAAGTTTTTAATGGTTCTACTCAAATTGAGTAAATGAATATAACTATAGAATGGATCTGGATATGGTCAATTCTTGATATAAGAAATTTCACTTGTGAAACTAGAATTAATACACCAATTTTGACAGTTTTGATACTTTTTTTGATAGATAAGTTGTTACTGTAAATGTGTTTCTTATAGAGTTTTTATAAGTAAATTTAGATAGCATATCAAAAATTTTATAAATATAGTAATGTGTGTTAGTATCTTTGGCATAAATGGAAAAAACTTAAACATGCCACAAATATTCAAAATAATATTGAATAGCAAAGCTCTCCAAATGTAACTGAACTTATCTTTCAAAAGATAAAAATCCAACTTATACTTTTCACATGAAAAAATAACCATTTGCTAACAGGATTAGTTCAGTTTCAATAAATTGTAAGGCCAGAATATGTTACTTGAGTGGAAAATGCACTTAAGGTCAAGTTAACAATAACCAGTTTTGTTTTAGTTTATCAAGCTTAAGAATTTGTCAAACATTTCAATATTACTTTGGTTGACTAATTTTAAAAAACAAGCTAATTTAAAACAATTTGTACACCATGGAGAAGTCAACAGTGCACCTCTTTCCAAATTCAGAGAAGAATTAAAAAATTTATTAAAAGATTGACAATTAGATAATGTTTTTAATTGTGATAAAATTGCATTGTTTTGAAAAATGGAACCCTCAAAATCTCTTGCTAAAGAAGCAATTACTAGAAAAAAGAAAATAAACAAAGAGTCAAAGTTCTTTTATGCTCAAATCTTACAAGTCTGGTATATATTATATTATAATCTTTATTATAAGTGAATTTATTTTAATTATTTTTATTTATTTTATATACAGTTAAAATAATATCACTAGTAATTTATCATTTTAAATATTACACTATATTTACTATCTAATATTACATATTACTCCTTGTAAGCACAACACCTCCCTGCAGCTAATAATATTAATAATAACATTATATATAATTTATAGTTATAATATTTTACAGTTATTATAATGTTAAAATCAATATATAATATGACAAGTTTCCAATAAATATATTTTCATGCTTTCATAAAATATCAGACATTAACTTTTTTGTTGAATTTTTTTTGAGCATATTTTAGTTATAAAAATTACATATCAAATTAACATGTCTTCAATAAAAAAAAACTTTCAAAAATTGTCAAAAAACTGAAAAAATCAAAAAATTTCAAAAACTCCTATACTAACAGAAAACAAAAATATTTTTTTGAAAGTATAACCTCTTGGTGGCAATACTATTATACTACAAGCTCTAGCAGTACTCTTTGTGAAAAATCCTAAAACCAATAAAGTTATAAAACATGATATTTTCTTAAAGAATATTACTCTTCCTAAACTAAAAGAATTTCTTACTTGGTTACTTTTCACTACTTGCATTCTAGAAGAAAATGACAACTTCAGAAAAACTATACTAACCTATCAAGAAGAAGTAGTGCTAATTAAATTTGATAGCAGAAATATTACATATAATAAAAGAAAATATACTGTAATTGCTTAATTATTTTACAAAATCTGAAAAAAAAAAGAATCAAGAATAACTTAAGCCATAGCAAGCATAAACAACATAACCCTCTTCCAAGAAGATGAAAATCTTTACTTAAATACAATAAACTCTATAAAAGAAACAACTCCTCTTGAAAATATGGGAGAATACTCAAATCTCACTTCACCTATACTCTCTTATAAAAATTCTTCAGCACTTTTACGAAATACATAACATTCTCAACCTTAGAAATAATCACTTGATACACAATTTGACAGATATACAAATTAAACCAGTTACACAACATAAAAATGACTTTCTAAACCAGTTTGAGAAAAATAATATGTATAACAATTATATAACAGATATCAATACAATTTCACTAGGTAAACAAAAAAATTTTATTATACAGCATAATATGGAAACTAACTAATCAGATGTAAATCCAGTAGATAATCTAGCTAACTTACTTCATAATATATTTCCAATATCAATTTACACTTATACACAGTATCTTATCAAATCCAAAAATATTTTAATGCTATTAGAATATTTAACCAATTCAAAAAGATCATTAATTCCTTTTGAAAAAATGATTTAAAAACTTTCTTTTTACAATTTAACAAAAATAAAGTAATATTCAATAAATCTCCTAATGACTTAGACAATATTTCAGAATATTTCTGAATGGTTCCATTTACTAAACAAAAAACTACTTAATTTTAACTTTATAATAAAATTGCAGTTGAAATAATACTCCATTACAAACATATATAAAAATAAAAGATCACTTATATATGAGAATCATGTAATGTTACTTACATAGTATAGATTTTTCTCAAGGCTAGAAAGCAAGAGATATGGCCTAGCTCATTATCTACTTAATTGATTTCCATATAAACAACTAAATAAACTTGAATTCTTATATAATACTCTTACTAAATACTGTTTGTAATACTTCGATAATTTTCAATTAGTAAAATTCTTTTTACCAGACAACTTAACCAAGCTAGAAGGAAAAATAATCAAAGAGATTTCTAACATTAATTTTCCAATAAAAAATAATTATCAATTATCAACCATATTAAAAGTATTACACAAATATTATAACTTTGAACTTTTATTAACAAAATACTACTGCCTAAAGGATCTCTTATCAGAACACTCTAAAAATCTACATAACAACCTTCAATGTAAAACAGAACTTCCAATCAGTAAACTAGAACAGATATAATATATAAATAAATACAAAAAAGAATTAAGACAACATTATATTTTCTTATTTAGACTTCTTAATTCATATATACAAATTATAAAATTTCTGAATTTTTCAGAAAATTGCAAAAACATTATGAAAAAAATATGAAAATATCTTTCGCAGAACAGAACCACTACCTCTTTAAACTTCTTCTTTTATAGTTTATTGAGAAATCTTGAAAAAGAATATATTATAGTGAGACAAACCTATTTTATTATCTCAACATCCAAGTTAATTAAATATTTTTGATATTCCAAAAGACTTGACTCTACCTATCACAAGAAAAAAAAATATTGTCACCTCATAAATATCCTTAGAAGAAAATACAAATTTAACAAATTAAAATTCTCTAAAAAATGGATAAATCTAGATGTAAATTTTTTTGATATAAGAAACTCTTTCTGATGATCATTTTGTCAGAATTTTCAAGAAAGAGAAAAATCTAAAAAACTTTACAAATGAATAATACAAACAACAGCAAAACATGAACAAGAAAAAGCAGGATAAATGTATACGTACTAGACAAATCACAGTAAACTATGGAACAACATGACAAAATAAGCATCAACAAAAAAGGTAAAGAAGCAGTTTACAATACTTTAAGTATAGGACAAATTATCTAGACAGGTTTTAACTTTTTAAGCTCTAGAGCTGGAACTTTGAACAATAACATGAAAACAATAATAACAAACAACAATATTATTGAACAGAGTCAAGAAATAATTGCAAATATGGAAACAGAAACTTTATTGAATAAAAAAATGGATGAAAAAAATATATCAAAAAATGATAAAAGCAAAATAAAAGAAGTATACAACAATAATGCAGAAATTAATGAAGAAGAGGCTAGTGACAGTAAGTTAATAGTAACAGTAAACAGCTTTCAGAGTGAACATGAAGAGTGGAGAAAAATGGCAAAATTGGAAAAATATAAAGTCTGAATAAAAGTATCAGTAGTTAAGGGAAAAAATTTAGGAAAGAAAATTCAAAATATTACTTCAGCATTAGACAAAAATATTATTACAATCAGAACTGAAAAAAATAGAGATGATCGTGAACTATATATTGCAATTTATTTTGGAAAAAAGGAAGATATGGAAAAGGCATGTGAAATGGAAATTGAAGGGAAAATGGAAAATGATAAACCTAAACTTGTTAGAACTACAATAACTCAAAATAGAAACAACAATAAGGAAAAAGAAGTTAAATTTTGGGATATTCCTGTAGGCATGCGCGAACAAGAATTCAAACACATGCTTAATCACAAATTTGAAAAAGTAATTTCATGTACAATGTCTACAAGAGGTATGTGGTTATCAGCAATTGCATATTTTGATGATCCTAATATTTTAGAACAAATTTTATTTGAATGGTCACAAATGGTAGGAGAAGAGTCATGCAAGGTATCAATTTCAAGTATGACATTTACAGAATTAAAAAATAGAGATGCACATACAGTTAAATTAATTAATTTATCATCTGATATGTTACCACATGAGTTACATGTAATCATAACACAAATGGAAGTAAAAACATATTATTTCCCTCGAAACCTCTATGGGAAAAAGAAAAGAATGACAATTATAACATTAGAAAGTGAAGAAGAAAAAAGGAAACTTATAGAACAAACATGGAAAGCAGAAGAATATATAATTAAAATAGTGGATATAAAAACAAAGACATGTCATAGAAAGAACATTTGGTATTGAATTGTTCAATTGCAAAAAGAAAAAAAAAATAAATAAAAGAAAGACAAAATATTTTGAGAAATATAGATACATATATAGGACCACTAGACCATGTTTATACCAAAACTTGAGAAATCAAGTAGGTATAAGAACTAAATATTCAAATACAGTTAAAAGAAATGTAATTACAATTAAAAAAATATTGATTTAATAAGTAACCAAAAGGATCTACTTAAAAATATAATGAATATGCTTGAAACTATTAAGTAAAATATAGTAGAAATTAAAAAACAAACAAAAAAATATTAATGAAAGAGTACAATATTTGAAAAAATATATTGAACATAATTTGAAAGAAGAAATAAATCATATGAGGAAGAAAAAAAAGAATATAATAGAGAATGGTGAAAAAGAGTTTACAGAAGAAACAAGGAAATTGTAAGAAACACAAATAAAACAAATAGCAAATACAGTTAAAATGTTAGCAGAATTAATATCAGAATTAAAGAAATCTAATGATGAAACACAAAAAAGATTAAGTAGAATGGAACAGTTATCTATTTTATTAAAACATAAAGAATAAACAAAGGCTACTATAGTCAAGAGAATTAACAATCTTAATAATTTAAATGTGACAGATAATTATAAAAATACAAAAAATAATAATAATAATATAGCAGAAAGTGAACAAATTTTATTAAAAAATAATTATATAATTAATATAAATAATGAACATTTAAATAATAATAACACATTAAATAATATTTCAAAAAATAATAAAAAATCAAAAAAAATATTAAAAATAATGAAAAAACAAAAAAAAAATAATGATAATATTATAATTAGTGAAATTAATAATGATATTAGCAATCAAATGTCAAATTTTGATATTGATATAAATAACAATATAATAGACAATAGTAGTAATTGTGTAATAAATAATGTTTAAAATAACAATATTGATCAAGTAATTAAGAACTTAGATTAGAACAACTTTAAAACCTTAAAAATAGCTATCCAAAATATAAGAGGAATAACTAATATCACAAAGCAAATAAATTAGTTAAAATTTTGTAAAGAGAAATATTTAGACATAGTTGAACTAACTAAAACCTGAGCAAAAGAAAAAAGCTATAAATATATATTTAGAAATGATATAATCAAAGAAACACTAAGAAAAAACAAGAATATTGATAAATATAAGTACTTTTGAACAAATAAACAAAAAATAAAGGGATCAGGAGTTGGAATCATGATAAAAAAACATGTTTATAAAATTGACAAATATGAAGGCAATGTGATCTCTGTAAAATTGTCATTTAAAAAGAGAATAAAATTACAAATAATTATAATATATTATTTAACAAGTGCAGACCAAAGAAAATTAAGAACACATGTAACAAAGTGGATAATACAAAAATTAAACAATTATATAGTTAAAGGCAAATATTATGCAATAGTTATGGAGAATTTTAATGCTACATTCAATTCTAAAATTGACAGGTTCAATACTAATATAAATGCAAAAAACAGATCAATAGATCAGATAAATCAGAAAGTCAAATTTTAAGATTCCTAGATAATAATAAACTGAAAGATACTGTATATTCAGAATATATAAAGATACAGCAGTAAACATATATTTGCAAAATAAAATAACATTAAACTTTTTATGAAAAAATAGTACTCAAGATATCAAAAGTAGAATAGATCAAATATGGGTATCAGATAATTTAGCAGACCAACTTTTTTGTGCTGACATTATATCCAAAGATTTGAAAAGTTACAGTGATCATGTATATGCAATGATGAAAATAGAAGATAATATATTTAAACATGCTAGATCAATAACAAATCCAATTGAAATTATGAACAGGATAGAATTTAATTTTAAGGGAACATCAGAAAAAATGGAAAAAATACAACCAACAGATTGAAAAAATAATAGGAGAAAATATTATTGTTGAAAATAATAATAAAATTTTTTCAGAAATGTTATAATTCAAAAAACAAATAAAATAATTTCTAAGAAGAAAAAACCTATATCTGAAAAATATGAAAAATCCAAAGTATACATGTTCCCAAAATTAATTTTGGATTTTTGAGATATTTTGACTTTTTGAAATTTATACAGAATTTATTCTATATATGAAAGTAAAAAAAGTATCCAGTTATATTTATATTCAATCAAAAAATAAATTTGGGTGGTCAAAAAATTTTGGGTTTTAAATAAAATAATTTTGTCTTCTATGAAAAACTATTTCAACTTTTTTTTTCAAAATTACAATTTCAGGACCCCAAAATAATTTTGCGTATAAGTATAATTCAAAATATTACATAATAACTTCATTACATTAAAAAACTTATAGCTATAAGGAAAATTTATGAGTAGGACAGACAATATTATGTCAACAGTAAACAAAAGGATTTGTTAAAAGAGAAAATAAGAAAAAAAATAGAAAAAATTAGAGAAGACTATAATATAGAAAATTACAATTCCAATATGGACAGAAATATCAGATAAGAATAAAAATTAATTAAAAAAGATTAAAAAGATGTATCATACTTTGTACAAGATATTTGATACAAAAATAAAAAAAGCAAATTATAAGAAAATTAAAGAACAAATTATTAAAAGAAATAAAAACTTTTTAGATAACAAAAAATAGTTATTCAAAGTTTACTAAATAAAGAAAGACCAAGAATAGTAACAGATAGTTTAATCAGAATAACTAACAAACAAATTAAAGTAATAACAGATTTAGAATAAATAAAACAAGAAGCCAAAAATGTATTTAGTCATTGGATCACATCAAAAAATATAGAAGATCTGAATCAATACTAAGAATAAAAACAGACCTACAATCAAAACAATGAAATACAAAAAGAATAATATTTATCATTTATAAAAAATTTTACAGCAGAAGAAATAAAAGGAATTATTAAAAAATTATCAAATAAAAAGGTACCAGGTCCATTCAATATTTCCAATGAACTATGGAAACATATGAAAAACAATATAATTCAGTTTCTTATAAATATATTTAACCAGATCTTAAAAAATAAAGAAGTGTCAAAAGAATGGTCAGAGGGATATATATTTCTTATAGTTAAACCAAAAGATTGGAAGAAGAATATATAGAATACCAGATCAATAACTAGGGTTGTTAATAGAACATAATGGGTTGGGTTCATATTATAGTGGAGCAAGGATTAACCCAACCCAACCCAACCCAGGTTAAATATAGTTAAATGTACTGGATTAATACTCCATGGGTTGCTCCGGGTTACTCCAGGTTACTCCGGGTTGCTCCATGAAGTAATAATTATAATTATACTAATAAATGTCATATTATAATTTCGCAGTATAACGTTATTCAATATTTTTAACATTTCTAACATTATCCGATATAATATTTATTATTGATTTTTATAAAAATATTTATAAATTACAAAACGGAAATGATTCATCATGGTTACAACGTAATAACTTTTTATTTTAATAAGTAAATATCAAATACTGTAATAATTGAGTTGAAAGATAAGAACGATGTACATCTCCTGTAAATATTTCAGACCTATATAATCAAAATTGAGCGAATGATGAGCGATTAAATTTTGAACAGAAATAATTCATCGTGCTCGAAATTAACCGTTCATATTTCATTCAATTTTAATTATATAGGTCTGAAATTTTTACAGAAGATGTATATCATTCTTATCTTTCAGATCACTTATTACAGTGTTTGAAATTTACTTATTAAAATAAAAAGTTATTACGTTGTAACGATGATGAATCATTTCCGTTTTGTAATTTATAAATATTTT